TTAGGTACATTTTGAAACATATATAGCCTCCTCACCCCTTTGAAGAGCCTTTTCTACATTTCGATGCTTATTTATAGTCCCTTCTACTCTTTTTTTGGTTTATCTCTGGCAATCCAAAGAACTCTCAGTAAAACTATCAAAAAAATCTTCCTTTATCACCTGTACCCTGCCCTCATTTATGAAACTTAATCTTAATGGAACTAGACATTTTAAAATCAAGGTATATAAGATTCCAAACTCTAAGGTTTTGTCTTTGTGGAGACACTGTTCCCTGTGCAATAAATCTAGCGAACCTGCCATTTTCCTTCTTGTAACGGTGATAGATATTTGAAGCAGTTTACCAAGCAATGTTGCTTTTTGGGCCTATTCTTACGCATTTTCAACTTGTGAGCAGCCAATTTTGGTTAAAATTTGATATTATGCTGATGTAAAGCCGACCTTTGATTAAAAATGGTTGTGGTTATGACTCTGTGCACCTATCCTCTGTACATACCAAAAAATGAATATCTGTATTCATATTGTGGAAATTAACTTAAATGATGATGCTTATAAACAAACATCTGGAATCAAGGGGGGTTGGGTGGATAGCTGTTTAGATAAGAAAGACAGAGTTGTCATTAACGATAGAAAAGGAAACGAAAAAACCACTCAGTGTTAAATGTGTGGGACGGTGTAATCGCTTCCAAATTGTCCAGCCTATACGGACCCCGGGCTTTCTTCGTCTCTTGTCCCGCAGGAGCACGGCCTAATATTTGTATTTCTTAGCCCAGTTGTTTATGCATTTAGATATAAGCAGGGCATTTCTTACCTTTAACTTCATTTTGATGGCAAAAGCTTCACCACTAATTCAAAAGATTTATCCAAATGCCACTCATTTCATTCTTTTGTCCTTATCTCCAGAGCGGACACTGCTACATTTATAAAAGTTCCCGCCTATTATCAGATCGAGGCAAATTAATAAAGGCGAAATCGAAAATCAAAATCGAAAATACGTGTTTACCGCATTCCATTCATAAACATGCACGCCGGAGCAGCCCCCCTCCCCCTACTTTTTCGGTGATGTATGATATCAAAGGTTGTGGCATAAAAATTAATGGTGGCAAAACACAATAATAGTTGACCAATCTGTATACAGCACCGAACACCCCCACACCAATATTTGCCCCGGCATCCCTATAATTATAAATCCCTAACTCTTCCCAAAAAATTCGTTTCAGCGCCGTAACATTCCAAGTTCAAAAGTCGATTGGAGACTTGACTATCTTTCTAAATTGCAGCTAAGTTCTTTTTATGTTTTCACCGCCAACTACTCAGGGCCCGCGCCACCGATTCTAAAGTGGGGGGGGGGGGGCAAAACGGAGGGTTACCAATTTAATACCTAAAGGGGGATTTGACACCTTAGATTAGCAATAAAAGTAGGAAGCTATGCCCCCGCCCCCCCCCCATGTGGCACGGGCCCTGCTACTGAGAAATGAATTTACTAGCTCTGTGACTGGAAAAAGAACATCTGATAAACAAGCAGAATTATACAAGGAAGAAGGAAAAATGTTCAAGTTTTGCTCAAGTATTCAAACAATTTTTAAGTATTGTATGCATTCAAATGTCTAATCATTCAGCCATCCCCCGAGCCCTCATCCTATGTTTTATATTTTGATGAGTATGAGTAGAAAAATTACTTTACATAATTCCCTTAATTAGAAATTTCCTTAAGCACTAAAGTCGAAGACATTTTTGTGGGCTTCACATATTATATATCTAGCATATTGCACAATTTTCGAAAGCATTTGTACGGGCGTGTAAAGTAATAAGATAAGAAATGAAGATGTGTAAGAAATACATTTTCAAACAGTGAACCATGATATTATGATAAGAGTTGTGTTTGCGTTTCCAAGGAAAAACGAAGAGGTGTTTGGATACCTACCCTCAACTCTCGACGTCAACAGTGCTCGACTCGCTGAATACGAAAAGTTGTTTAGCACCTTAGATATCTTTATTGTACCAATTATAGTTCATTTAATGCTGATCACAGCATAACATCTTTTCGTGATTTTGTTGTTCTGTAGTATTTTCAAGAGATGTAGATTTTGCAATATTTTTAGTGATTTCTGCTTTTCAATTGCTTTGTGCCGAAAGTTTTAATTCTTAAGACATGAAAGAAGTAAAAAGTGTGAGAATAAAGGAAAGGCAAAAAAGAGATTGAAATGTAGTAAATAAGGATAACCGCAATGCGCCGAGAATTAATAACACACGTAAATTTGTTATGGCTAATATTTCGCCCCGGTATACGGGGCTGCATCAGGCAAAAGTAAGTAGGCTGACAATTTTCTCATAATAAGGATTTGCGATTCCTAAAAATGTTATTTGGATCCTAGAGCTCTAAACGATGCAAGATATTTAGTAACTGCTTTATAAATATAAAGATCAGGATATTGTGTTAATACCTTAAGATGGTTTGTAGCTATTAATAAAGTAACAGGGATTAATTTATTTTGTTTAACCAGGAGCTTTCTAGCAATGAAACCCGTATCAAAAACAAAATTGATGATACCAAATTGCATGTTCATCAGACAACAAATATTTACTTTCACATGAGATGTCTGTGTAAACACTTCTTTAAAGCAGATCTTCTGAAATTCAGTAAGACGATTGATGCTATCAGTTTTTTCTTCTGAAAAACCCCGTCGCTTATTCTTAGGCTACTAAATGCCTAGATCTTAGAATACTTGGTTCTTTTGTGAATTTACAAGGGATGCAAACATCCCAGACTTCTACTCTATGACAAAAATCTCTCTAAAAGCGTTAACATTTCATTTTCAGAATAGCGAGAGGGCGAGCAAAAAAATTGTAGAGCAACAGATATGATTCATACACTTTCAGGAGTCATAAGTGAACTCCATTTCCAATTTTTCTTTGTTTCAAAGGAAAAAACACTTAATTTCTCGATATGTGATACAGGTAAGATACAAATCATTTGAAATTATGTCAAAATGCATGGTAAAATTTTGTTGTCAAGAAATAATTTTAGAGCCAAAAAAGCTAGCTTGAAAGGCAAGAAAAAAGCTACATTGGGGTATGGTGGCTGTGTAGCACCTTCAAATACACAGCAAAGTTTTACCATCGGGTAACTTTATAAATATCTTATATTATCAAATATTATCAACTGGAATCCTTTTGAATACCGAATACCTTTTACACGAATACATGGTAGGTTGTACAAGATCCTGGTGTGCTGTCAATCTCTCTTGGCGTATCAATTAACGACGGCTACAACAGGCATATGTACCAAGCGTTTGTCTTCTTTCTTTACAAACTAGATAGGTAAAAACAAAATGAAGCTTCTATGAAACCAGCAAAGCAGCCAGAATTTTACAACGTGGTTAGCTGTGCTCAGTTATAAAGTTCCATTATTCTTGGTCAGAAATGTATAAGCATTCTCTTCGAATATGTCATTTTCAAAAGGGGAGCTCTCCCTTTGGCTAGGCTCCTGTATACTACAGACATTTTAAGAAATTTCTTACCGTAAATTCTCTTTTAAGCTCCCGGGGGCTTATTGTTTATCAGCACTTTAAAGGGGGCTTATAAGAGAGGGAGGCTAATTTGAGAGAGGGGGCTTCATGAAAATTTTGGAATAAAAACTATTTTCAGTGGTAGATTTACTTTTTATTATTTACGAAATAAAAAACATCAAATCAGGCTTCTACATCAATAATATTGTCATGGTAATGGTCATCAATGATTTATTCTGAAATATCTTCTTAGGAAAAGTCGTCTTCTGGAATCAAGCATTCAAAAGGGTCGTGGTAAAAAGCTCTCATATGGCCCGTGCTTAAGTACAAATTAAATCTTTGTCTTCGGATCCGTTGAGACTGGAAGAAACATCCTTTGAATTTTGTTTTGATGAAAAGTAGTGAGCGACCAACTGAGAAAACGAAAATCTCCATTTGTTGTCATGCTTACTTACTTTCGCATCAGTGAATTGCTTTGGGCGGGGCTAAATTGATAGGGGCTTACTAAATTTTTGCTTCTGAAAAGGGGGCTAATAAAATAGGGGGCTTAATTGAGAGGGGGGCTTAAATAAGAATTTATGGTAAATTACATTTGCTCATAAATCTTAAAAGGTTTTGAGAAGTTATAATTAGAAGATTTGATTATAACCTTTCTTAAAGAGTTCAATGATAAACACAGTTAGTTCAAAAACTATCGTTACTGGATGGTGTGGTTTTCGTTGCCTTCTTCTCCATATTCACATTCCAAGGCTTTAATTCCTGCGGGTGACGTCATGACTCGTATTCATTGCTATTGTTTTGAGAAGAAACACACTCGAATATGCAAAAGGGGAGTTGGGTTATGGACAAAGATCAGAAAACCACCGAATTATAAAAGGAAAAAGAGTTTACAATTAAGGAGCTAGAAAATTTTGAGGGAATTCTTGGTATTCATGGCTTTATTCACTGATAGGTAAAAATGCTGAATTCTTTATTATAAAACGTTATTATTATTATAAACAACATTCTTTCTTAGTTACTTTTTTAAGCATCTCTCTGTTTGTGAAATGTTATGATAGGAGTTTGTACAACATCGATTAGAACTGTTATGAATGTAGAAAAATTTACAAATGGGAAAAACTTCGTGATCTTTTATCTGTAAAAGTTGAAAGAAGAAACTTGCAAATTTTACAGTTTGTTGTTTACGAATAAATTTCCAATTCAACACAGACAAAAACTTAGGATGCCTTGAATTCGAAATTTAAGGCCCCTCCCCCCCCCCCCCCCCCCCCCCCCCCAATTCTTCATGAGTTTGTCGGTATATTTTTAGTTGGTGCAAAAATTCCCTGGTTTCGGTAAAATCATCTATCCGTAGATGAAATAGCACCTAAAATTTCTTTTTGTCCGTGTTTTCTTTGGTAAATTTTGCTACTCCTGACCCTCAACCCCCTTGTCTGGAGGGTCGTGCTTTGCCTCTGGACTGAGGTAGCAGTTAAGTCAATACTCTGGATGTCATTTACGAGCTGCCAGAATCACGCACTTATAGCAATCTTTTTAAGCCCCGAAATCAGACTCTTTGCTAATTAAACAGTCAATTATTTGCAAAGAATATCAACACACAAGATGAATAGATAACGAGAGCTTACATGCATGTATGGCCGCTTAGATCCGCCATACTGACTTAACAACAAACATCTTGGCTAACAATTTACTAGGCGGGAATCTCTGTTCTTAACATTTGAAAAGCAAATGTTTTTCCTGCAAAAACTTTGAGATTAACTGACAGAGACACGGCAAACGAATACCGATATTTACAGGTATACATTTGAGACTATTCTCGACTTTTCGTCTATTCAAAGCCTGTTTATAGCAAGCAGAAAGAATACGAAAGAATGCCTGTTTAATTATATGCACCTTGGGCGAGTAAACAAGGCAAATAGAGACAAGGTTTGTACCAACTTTAATTCTTGTGTATAAATTTTCTATTAGCAATGTAAATCTCTGAAAAACCCCCTACCTTGGGTCAAAACTGCCTTAAGTGACCCCCTCCTATGCGTTGTCTCTTTCTCCCTTCCTTTTTGCGTGATGGGTATATTCCATTGAAGTGTTCTTCGTATGGTACATCAAAAGAATAAAAAAGTACTATAACAAGAAAAGAAAACAGTTTCTTTAAAAAAATGCACCAGAAACTTCTCACTAAAAATATTGGCTAAGCTGCAATGTTTTGAAGAGCTCAGTTTGGAATAACCGTTACCTTAATACGTCCCAGTTATGTTTAGATGCATTCGAAATAATAGGTATGCCACACAAAATGCATTAATTTGGTATGGAACTATTTGCAGTAGGTTTTCATAATCATTGCGTTGCAATACAATTGGAGAGGGACCTGTCCGATAACCAAACTTCGAATAATTTCCCGTTTCTCAATTTACTAGTCTTCTTTGGCAAGAACTGATTAATTGCAAAAATTATATGAAGGCAAGGTTATTAGATAGCTGCTACAAAGACTGGGATGCTAAAATCATCTAGCGATAAAAAGTATTGATATCGCATGACTTTCCTTTATTTACCAATTCCCATTTTCTAGAGCAAATAGTTCAGTCACAGCGAAAATAAAGGAGGAAAGACAGGTCTCTAAGGCCCAACAAAGAAAGATTCTTTAACTAATTATAAAAGAAATTAATTGTACTTACGTAGTAGTCAAGAAAACAACCCTGTATCTTTTTACTTTAGGGGCACTTACTCAATCCGAATCTTTAATTCTCAAAGTAACATCAACTTTTCAACCTTTGCTCTAGTCTATCGCTAATTACATGGCTTACCGTATTAGAGAGCTCTTGAGCAACAGCAGAACATCTAATTATACATTGCAATTAACCTACAGTGGAAAAATCCTACAGTCTCACAAACCTGGTTTGAAGGAAGGTTTTAGCCAAAAATGAGAAAGGTCTATGACAAAAGCAAAATTTTACAATATTTCTCGAATACTTTCAATTGTCGAAAATATATCACCGATAATACTTACGTATTACGATAGAACCGTTAACGTGTCAAAATGCATGATATAAAATCTGGCTAAGAAAAGACGATTTCATATTGGAAAGAAAATATATGAGAAAATATTGATGTATCAGGAAAATCTCTCCTTGAAAAACTTGGTAGGGGCCTTAAGGCTGCTCTGAAACAGAATAATATCACAGGAATACCCATAATTACATTATTTCGTTTGGTACAAAACACCGCTCAGCTGTATTTCAGAAATATCAAACACCAACCAAACAAATTGTGTTAAAATGTGTTAAAATTGTGTACCAAACAAATTGTGTTAAAATGAGCAAGGTTCAGACACAAAATTGCAGGTTTGGAGAAAGTTCAACAACTTTGAGCAACTCTGAATGAAATTATCTTTTGCTTTGTCTTTAACTATGAAATAATACCAAAGGGAAAATGGGCGTGGCAGAGTATTAAAGCTTCATTGAGATAAAACTGCCCGAATGGAGCCTGAAATGCGATAAATGTCGCCTGATTAGGGGGGCTGCAGCCTTCTAAGTCACCATATCTCACACGCGCATGCAAGAGAACGAAAGTGTCTTACATACCTGCCTTGTCTAGGCAAATGCCAAATTTCAAACATCTATGGAAGCCCCGTTGCTTTTGCGTATAGAATAATGATTTGCTTTCCATTAAAGTTATTACTGTCATTTGTAATCTGATTCAACCGACACACGAAAATTTCTACATCCTACAACAATAATAATTTACAACAACTTTTAAGATACTTAGACCGGTGTAATGAACAAGGCGGAGTTTTGAGAAATCTAAAACTAGATCTCTTATTGATGACGCAAAACGAGGAAACTTTGGGAGGAGGAAAGCCATGTCGGCCAAAGCAGTCAGCATCCATGAACATACTGATTGGCGCAAAGGACGTAATATTTTCGAAAACTGATTCTACGAAACCACCAATTATTTTGTTTGCTCAAGAATGAATCCCTGGCTCAGGCCAAATCTAAACGAATCCACCAGGATCCGGTGATATCCAACTCCCATACGAAAGATCAAACCGATGTCTATTAAATTGCCATCGAAATTTCCCAAAGCTTACCATAAAATCGTCAAGGCTCTCGCTGAGCCCATGGGGTCGTTTATGGACAATAATTATCGGTTTTAGAGTACGTATTGTTCCTGAAATGCCAGGCAATTCAAGAAAGGATTTGTAAACCAGGTTGTAATCTACCTTCACTGGTAGAAATATCCAAACAGTCATATAAGAAGAATTCGGCTGTTTTTGTCACTCTCAAATAGTTAGATGATGTATAATCTTTCGGAGGTGACTCTCAATTTTGGGCCTAAAAGATCTAAGGATTTAGTAAAGTACTTCGTTGAGAGAGTGGTTGGGAGAGGATCTGTTTAACTATACAGGTGTTCTGACTAACCACGTATAATATGGGTCAACAGAGAACGGACTTTCTTAATACTTAACAAAAGAAACACGTTTTAACTTTGCAACCAGGGTTAAACTGATGTCACACAGGTAACACATGCTAACTATAATGGATGTGATGATATTGAGAGATAAATAACGTTAAACTTATTTCTATCTTCATTTTCAGAAACAGCATAATTACCTTTCTGTTCGATGGTCTAGGAATCTATGAAAGCTGAAATCAGAGCGAAGTTCTCTAGATGAATCTCGAATTAAGAGGATACAGTTTCTAATTGAAAACGAAATTATCATTAAAACTTCTTTACCATAAACACTTGGATTCATTGCTTATCTACGTTATTCATTTTGTTCATATAAATTACAAATTAAACGAAAAATTAAACTGAACTTAATAACTGACACAATTCAATTTGACTTATGATTGAAATACACTTAAATTTTCCTTATCCTTTCGGTCTTGATTCTTCTACCAAACCTAAAGCTTGCAAATTCCTACAAATGATAAATTGACAATTGCTGTGCCAATTAGAACCAAAATAAATGGCCGAAAAACAGTAAGCCTTGAATAGGAAGACGTAAAGCTTTCATGTTGTTAGTTTTTTTTCTTGGAAGAATATTTTCTCTGCCAGCATTTTTCAGGCTTACAATGACAAAAAATCAAACATGACACAGAACCGTAAAAGTATGTATGGAAATATTCTAAAAGTTGCAGCAAGTTTCATACTTTTCGGGGTTTTTATATTGTAATAAAGGGCAACAAAGTTAAAGAAAGCATGTAGATTTACCCAGTGATTGGTATCATGGATGTAACGCTTCAAATTGGCAATTTAGTCGCCAATAGTCGCAAAATTAAAACATACTTAAGCAGTTATATTTGACCGACAAAATGCTTATTCTCAATTGCAAAGTTTAATACTCTCAGCATCCCTAACAGTTCTTAACAACTGTAGTTCTAAAAAGTATCTGTCTTTCATTTTCGTAAAACATACAACATACATTAGAAAGATCTGATATTGATTTCGAGTTACTCACAATGTTTGAGCATCAAGAGACTTAAACTAGTTCGTAGTGGAGTTCTTTTCGCAGAATACGGCTACGCCAGACATTCTACGACATACAACACAAGCTAGTTAAAGCACGTGAAGTGTGATAAATATTATTGTAAAGACACAAAGACACAAAGCGGAAAGCATAACTTTAAGTAGATGCGAAAAGCTGTCATAAGTTAATACTGTAAGGATACTGAACTGCTTATAAGATGCTTCATGGATTATTCTACTTACATTTTAAATAAAAGCGTTCACTTTACTCTAAAAATACCAATTCGATATCTTTTTTGCAGCTACCGGCCAACCACTTATTACTATGCATCTGTCTCACTGAAATATATTCTGACTGTTTGGTTTTGAAGATGCAGGTCTTTCGTGGCAAAATTTTGCGCTGGTTTGAGGCCCGATCTGCAAGGAGAAATGTACCAACAAAATAACAAAATGAAGCTTGTTTAATGCAATAAGCTTTTATTAGGATTCCTTGATAAAAAAAGGGCTAGAGGAAGAAAGGGGTCCCATTGGGGTCTCAACAGAAAGTAGCTTATCAATAGCCGCAATTGAAAGGTGTATTTAACTTATTTCTTGTAATATAAATGCTATCTAAAAACAAGCATTAAATGTCTCAAAATGGCCAAGAAGTCTTTTAGGCGAAAATGATTCCAAAACGAGCAAACAGGGCAGATGTAGACTTCTCCTTTGGTATCGGAAAGCTGATTGCCAAGCGCTTGAAACAGCCCAGCTCTGTAAGGTTATTTTAGATGTGACCAAGTCTGTGTTTTTGTGAATAACAGTTCGAGTGGTGCCTGGTAACTAACAATATCAATTATTCCTAAGTGCATAGATTATTGAGCAGAAACTAATTCATTGTTTCTATAAGATTAACCAACGACCAATCTCAAACACTAGCAACAAATATGGCTTACGAAGAAATTCAGATTTCAATGAGGACAAATTTTTGAGATCAGAGAGTGGTTTATCGAGAATTAAAGACCAAAGGTTTTTAAAACCCGGCCATTGCAAATACAACCATGCAACAATGAATTTTTGTACGAAAACTCTATCGTCAGTATTGAATCAAGAGGCATAACAAGAGATTTTTGAGACTTGAGGTGAAAATTCGAACTTGAATGGTAATATATATAAGAAATATACTGAACGGCTAAAAGTTTGAAATTCCAATTTATAGACTAGGCACGGAAATATACTTGTTGAAAGATTTCTGACCAGGCATCAATGCAATAGCTCTTAAAAACTGAGAAGTGCTGATGAATTTAAAAAAAGAGATCTTAAGGAATAATAAATGAAAAAGTATATAAATAATTGAAAATGAATTTTAAATATGTAACATTTTAATCGAAAGTGAAATTAGAGTAAAAGCTGTATTTTGTTTCTAGCTTTCATAATGCAGATGAATATGATGATTTCACAGAAACTTTCATGAATCAAAAGAGCAGTAAGCAATTTGTTCAATAAGGAATAAATTCTAAATAATTGTTAATGGTGAATAGAAAACAAGCTGTTCCAGGTTCAAAAGATAAAATATTTCTGCTCCTAACGAAGAAATCAAATGAATTTCACCTACCAGATCGATCGCTTGGCAAACTCTTCACAAAATTTAAGTTGTTGTATTGCATCTCCATATAATTCAAACTTTTCAAGCCCCATTAAAGCAATGAACGCACTCTAGAAAAAAAAATTCTATCGATGATTTTTTTATTACCATAATATCAACACCAACATCTCAACAAGAGTGAAAATACGAATTAAATAATCTATTATTTCAATTTCTGTATTTTCTCTCTCAATTTTGTCATTTACAAGTTAAGGTCAGCTGTAGAAATTTACTCTTGCATACAGCAAGCTTTTTTGACGAACAGTTTTCAGAACGGGTAATCTTGGATGCTCACTCAACCTCACATGCTCACAAAGATTCATATAAAAGATCAAAATAAAATTGGCAAGGAAATTACATTTTTGATGAACATAGAAAGAATCTAAAGAATGCGTTTGTCAAAAATTCCACTCACTACGTGGGAGATATCAAAAGCGTGTGTTCTGTAGTTCTAAAACGCTAGACCCTGGTTGAATGTGATACAGGAATGGATTGAACTTGGAGTGCAATATCAGTATAGGTTAACTTGAGGTAGCATACTGAAACCACAGGGATCGTGTGATCATAGGGATGTAACCATAAACAAACTAGGCCTTGGCTAATCATAATGGATAAAGTTTATTATAATCAAAGCTTTGTGATCAAAGTTTGATTAACAATGCTTTCCATAGACCAAACACTCAACCACTTCTCGTTCAACCTGTGGGACTGCCATGGGTCTATACCAATGGCTGACAAAAATCTTAACAGCCGAAGTTACGATGGTTAGCTCAGTGTAAAGATGATTTTCATTCCCAACTTGACATCGAATTATTAAAACGAAAATAATCAAGATAACTGGAATTTCACCTCATCAAAGATTGGTGGTCGACAAACCATTTGAAATCAAACCACAAATACCGTAAATCCTCGAATTGCCCCCCCCCTCGAAAAAGCCCCACTCGCAAATAAGCCCCCAACCTAGAACCACAAATTGTCAGCCACCCCCCCCCTCGAATGAGCCCCCACTGATATTGTAAATCCTCGAATTGGCCCCCTCGATTTGTTGATTTTTGCCATCTGAGGTTGCCTTTGGCGCTTTATAGAATTACCACAAATTTTAGAATTATTCATACTTTTGGTAATAATTAATAAAATGTTGACAAAGAAATTCCTATTAAAATATAGAGGTCTTTTATTAATGTCCTCTAAATGTCTACTAAATTTTTACAAGCTCCCCCCTCGTATAAGCCCTCCTACTTTCGAATAACCCTCCATCCAATAAGGGGAATAACTCGAGGACTGAGGGTTAGAATCTACAAGAATTTTCTTTGGCCAAATTTAACATTGAGAATTAACCCTTGATATTTGATGAAGAATAAGAACAATAAGTACAAGCCTATCCTTACATTAGCATTATAGCACTGGCATTGAAGAGAAGTGGACAAAATTTTTAATAATAAGAAATAATTATTCAAAATCCTTACAAACTCTAGGTTTGAGCAACTAAAAGGCAGCTTATTGTGAATAGGAGATCACTATCAACATTAAACTCAATATAACCTCAATCTGCAAAATTTAAAAGGAAATTTAACACTAATTACAATCTTATTAGTGTCACAGCAATAATGGTCGTTATAAAAGTGACATTTTTGTTGCTTTTCCGTTGGCCTGAAGCGATACTTTGCTACAAATCTGGAATGACTTTATGCAGGAGAAAAATGAGGGCAGCGAATAGAAGCTGATGTGCCAAGTGTATCTGCTTACAACAACCTCGTTGAAGAACCAAGATTAAGTTGCAGATATCTTCAATAGTGGTTCTCAAAGTACTTGATTTTATCTTAAACCTTGAAGTAGCAAACACGATTATTATGTATTACATGATATATTAAATTTTATTTTTAGCCACAAAACCCAGCAAGCACACCTCGAAAGGACCGACTGGTACAAGGGGAGACAGTTCCAATCAGACTGGTGACAGTGGAACAAACAAGGCTTAAACCAACTAATGAAAGTCGGTTTGATCCAAAACGAAATTTCGAAAACTGAATTTGATTTTGAGGTCGCAAGGCTGCAAAGATTGCACCCTTAAAGGTTCCGACACCTTAAATTAAATCGGAGCACAGAGCCAGGTCAGGAAGGGTAAGACGAGGAATTAGTGGTTGCAGGGATAACTTAAGTTAATAGTAAACAGAAGAAGACAAGTAAAATCAAAGAAGACCATGAAAGATTTTATTGTTACAAATCGCCATGTAACATTCTGAAAGAGTTTTTAACTTCACATCTGCTCTACTATAAATTTACTGGAAACAGTATCCTTAACGGCAAAGCAGGAATTCAATCGAACACATGTGGCACAGTAGATGACAATGAAGATGTTATCTTTGGGCAGGGATATAATATTCCTGAAAATCCTGCCACATCGACCAAAAAAAGTTCAACTTGATAATTTTCACTACTAAAATATTCAGATATTGTTCTAGAAACACTGCCTGTATTTTATACCGAGAACTGGCACAGTCTTTAGATCAGCTACGGACGTATGTCGGAGTTAGAGTATCTCCTAAAAGCCCCTTGGTCTTAGTGGCTCTGAAAGGTCCCAAAAAGATCTGATAAAGCTAAAGGTCTAAAAGCTAGAACTAAAGATGTCTATTTTTAAAGTAATTCTAGTTTGTTTTTAACACGTTTTATTATTATTTGCCCTTTGAGGCAAATAAAAACTGGTTGAAAAACTTTCAGTGACTTTTACTTTTTTTAATAAGAACCAGATAATTTTTGCCGAGCCTTGATGTTCTTAACTTTTTGATAATTTTAGGCTCAAATGTTCTTAAAAATGTTCTCACTTTAAGAGTGATTTTTTGCAAATATTTGAGAAGTTACATTCTGTACATAGTTTCTAAGACGTTTTACTAGGTAAAGTTTAAAAATAAAGCAATGACTGCTTATAAATTGCAAAGTTTTGTTCTGTGGACATGATATAAATTTCAAAATGCGAATTGCATTCTTCTCTCATCTATAAATCCCTCATCTGAAGCTGAGTGTGTTTTAGCCTTGTTCTTATTTTTTGGACAAATCGAGCGTTCTCATTGTTCTTATAAAGCGTGTTAAAAAAAGAGTGTAGATCGATGTTTCAAATAAACAGAATCTAACAACTTCTAAATCAGTTATAAACAAAAAAATCTTCGACATATGTGACCTGTGCAGATCTTATGCACTTTATCCTGGGATTCTTTCCTTATTAAATATGCTTTCTATCGTGGTTTTAGATTCGTGAGATCCTTGGAACGGACTGGATAGTTCAACATTTCATTGTTTCGATAATTAATCGTATACTTAATGAATTAGGTGAAATTATTAATTACTTAATTTCCCAAATCGCAGTTTAAAAGGATAGACGTCTTTCTTTTATAATACAGTAGCGAACAAGTCAGACTTTTCCTTTCCGCGCGATGTGTGATAATTCACTCAGAAAGATTTAGCGAAATTATCATTTAGTGAAATGCTGAAATATTTAGTGTCATCTAGTCTTAAATTCTTGACATAAGGGCGCTTTCGATATGTTCCTAATTCTTTACATAGTAACAACTAAATAGAGATCTATGGTTTTTGGGCATTTCTTCCTGGCTTGACTATCAACCCATCCTACTTAACAAAGTCATGAAAGTGATCTAAATTAAACTGGAGGATGTAGAGGATTCAGTGCAATCCTGGCTACAATGTGAACATACAAACTAATACAGGCTGCGAGGTTAAAATTCTTCGTCTGATAGTCTCTTTGGCCACAATTAATGAAAGCTCGCATTTCGCATCAAAGGCAGGCCGCTGAATGAATTTGCTCAACCTTTGGTAGGAATGTTTGCCTTAGGATGACGAATGTAATAAAATCGACATACAAGCGAAGGAAAATCAAACGCTACTGTACGATTTGCTCGTGGAATCACGTGATTGTGTTAACTGTTGCAGATGTGTGTTTCGTTGAGCAGACATTAAAGGAACCGCCGGTGAATTATTCCTTTGTCGGCAAATTAGGATGAAACGCGAGCTGGTGCCTCGTTCAATAAAGCCTTTAACATGTAAAATCACTGATACAATATTTGTATAGGTTTTCATAATGCATATAAACACGCTTTACAAATGAATAATGAAGCTGTATAAATACTGTTTAAGTTTGGATCGCAAAATTTTCACCCATAACAAACTCAATTTCCACGAAGTAAGGCACGAAAATTAGCCTGAAGTAAATATATATGATTTAATATTCTTTAGAAACACAAAGCAATTATCACCAAAGGGCTTATTGCTATTCGCAAACTTTGTGGAAGTCGTGAAACAGAACCATGCTAATTAATCTAATGTTCTCCCTGGCATGGCAACGGAGGCTGCGAAGGCGCACTTAGAGACAAGTGGGGAACTGGTAACGAAAGCTTATTTGGAACACGTCCACTACCGAATTACGTCAACCTTCAGAGAATTATGCTGTGCATTGAAGCACCTTCTCTACCACGGCTACTCCGAAGCAGTTCTCAGTTAGGCTTCCAACGGTCCGTCCCATTCATCCCTTCACCCTCACATCTCAAATGCATCGCTTCATATTTTACTTTCTTCAAAATAATTTTGCCTTCGTTGCCTTTGCCCTAGAATACAAGGATCACGGCCTGCAGTAATCGATGTTTTTAATAATTTATTCACAAACCTTTGCAGTGTAAAATTTTTGCAAAAATCCAAACATCTTAATACAAAATCCACACACTCGAAAAATAAAAAGGAAGGATGCCAATTTACACAAAGGCAAGTAAAAAATCCAATTCATTTGCAGGTGGCTCAAAACTGGGGTTAACGATATTTCATTACTCGGTAAGTCAAAATCGGTAAGTTCAAAGTATTGAATTTAACAAGGCAGAAACTGCATCACCAAGTGAGCTAAATAATAAAAGCGAAGGACAATAGCTTCTCCATCCTTTACCAGATGGGACTCAGCCGAGCTCGAAAATACCAGCTACATATTTCATGTTGGGAAATTAAATATTTAATCGTGCAGCCATTAACATGGAAGACGAAATAATTTTCATTTGGAAGAAATGAGGCAAATCTCATGTTTGAATGGAGTTAATTACATACCAGATGATTGCACGGCGTGGAAGGAGATTGAATGAATGAAGAAAAATGAATGAAATTGCAAGAGAATACATACTTAAAAATCTCAAACATTAATGATAAAAATACATTCTTTCAACATTTCATAAAAAGCTTAGCAAATGATTTCTGCTCTACCGTCGATTTTTGTGAAAAATGTCATGAAAAAAAACTAGAAAATTGATGGAGGCGTGCTTTGTACAAGATTTTTCTTTATTGCATCAAATAATGGACAGACCGACGGTTCCCAGACCCAAACAAAAGCTCAGATCGAAGTCATGATTTCCAATCTACAAAACTTGAACTGAAAATACCTGATGTCCTGCAAAATACTTGCTGTTCTTCTTCGGCCATCTCCGATTAGCACACAACAAACAAGTGCCAGTGTTTTGTCGAAAAGCTTATCTGTATTAATTGTTGTAAACAGAAAATTTAAAATAATCTTTTCCAAGTTGGCTTAAAGGGAGCCCAGTCACGGATAATCTTCTAAAGTTATATTGATATTTGCTATGTTTACATTCAGTTTAATTTAACGAATTAACAGGAATATTGGTAAAGCAATGCTAATCCAAGCGCAAGTACTTCAAGGTCAGGGCTACCCGTGCGCCCTTCATTACAAGAACTAAAATGGATTAAAATCCGATTTTCATTCGGCAGTTGTTAAACAGATAGGAGATTGTGACCTATCTGGAGTAAACAGCAAAGGCCTTTGGAACGAGCCTTAAGGGCGCCGTAAACACTCCGAAGGAGCCTTTCTCAAAGTTGTAGCAATTTGCAAGCTGTCTTATCGCCAAACTGCTGTGGCAACCAACAACAACAGCCACAGCTATTTGTTTCTGAAGTTTTCAAGCGGCTTGAAGTTGCACGAAATGTTGCTGGTCATTTCGAAAGCAGGGCTTGTGAGAAAATGTCTGTTTACATTGATATTGAGACTATATGAGCTATCAAAATGCTATCTCAAACTCAACCCTTTTATTACCTAAGGCCCAACGTAAATCAATCGATAGTGCTGAATATATAAAAACCAGATGCACTTGAAGAGTTAATGCATCTATTTGTTTTTTTAAGTCTATTTTGCTTTCATAAACACACGATACTTGAGCAGAATAGTTAACGACAAAATCATCAGTTAATCAAATAAGGATGAGGTCCTAAATATGAGATCCTGTATAATTTTGATGCCCTGTCGATCCGTGTCCAAACATGAGAGATCTCTAGAGCAGTGCCAACTTGAAGTCCAACATACGCATCCTAGTTCGGAATTATTTGCTCTTGAATATAGCGAGACTTATTAAATCTGGGTTTATTTTACCAAGAATTTAATTAAAATCTCCGAAGTTCGTCAAAACAGATCAAAGACGACCGAAGGCATCCTTAGTGCAAATATGGCTACTTGACTAAACATTGTATAATAGAAAAGACTTTCATTCATCTATCGGTGTGCTCTTGGTAACCTGACCCTGCTGCTCGCATTATCAATTGTGTATCAAAGGTCAGACGGAGTTCACCTATGGCCAATAGGCACTCGCGAAATTTGAACAAAATGGCGCATTCAGTTGTATACATGATACGCGTATGATGGGTCTGTTTTACGTTCGGAGCCTTTCAGGGGATAAGGTTCAGTTTCATATGTGTGTCTTATTTACCCAGAATCGATTCAAGTGCCTTTCACTTCTAACCGCGCATTACTCACTGGATCTTACCAAAATAGCTCATGATTTCGTACGCGGATGAAAAGCCTGCGCCAGAATTGAACGTCTATCCTAAACCCAAAGACAATGAAGAAAGAGCTTCGCGTAGTGCGAGGCCTGGTGGCAAATCAGGCAAAGCACCTACGTCATAATATATCAAATAGGTAGCTAGCTATTTCAACTTTTTGAGATGATTTTTCTTCGTTTCAAAATAAATTACGTACAATTGCCTTTCTTTGGTAAGAAATTATTAATCTTAAGGGGCCGGGAGAGAATACTATGAAAAATATATTTTCTATGTACACAAATCAAAACGAAATAGAAGATAGCTATAATTTCGTGTCCTAAACATGTTCCAAATGGGAAATTTAATTGTAATTGAAGCTTTGTATATACAACTTAAATACTTGCTTATCGCTGTAAGAAAGGTTTAAATAGAGCGGCATTAGTTGCAAATTTCAGGGAGTCGAAGATATCTATAAACATTGGAAGCATATTAAATGTCGGGGGGAGGCACTATAAGCACCATACTGGGCTGCAAATATGTACTTCCCCTTGTATGTGAAAAGTGTCCCTTGTTTTGTCCCCCTGTACCCTTGGTTGCTGCATCTATATTGCACCTGGGTTATAAGTTTAATAGAGATAAGAAGTAATGACATCATAAAAATAGTTTTAGAATCCTCCATTTTGTCTAAGTAGCCTGAAAACCCATATGGGGTAAGCCAAATGAATTCATTGAATTTCTCTATCAAACAAATGTAAAAAAAAACCAGGCCTGTGGAGGGGCGAAGTAGAACTCATGGTAATTGTTCTTTGTTCTAAATTATATGAGCTGAACTAAAATTAAATCGATCCTTAGTAGCCTCCGGGTCTTTCAACGTCTATATCTCAACGTGTTTGGAATACATCTAACAAAATTTTCACTTTTCAGATATTCTATAATTTTCTATAAAGTTGACATGGTATGGTCAACCTTGTTAAAAATTCTAAAAATGTGAATACTTTTAGATACTTTTAGAGGAGTTTGTTACGCTAGAATCATCAGCATACAATGATACGTGTGAATGAAGAAAAGTCACGGTAGCAGGCTGCTCGACGGGCTTCAAGGAGTTCTTGCGGCAAAAAGTCGATAAAAATGTAGCAAATAAGAAACACCACAATGCGCCAAGAATAAACAACAATAAATACACGTGGAGCCGGTGTATTTATTGTTGTTTATTCTCGGCGCATTGCGGTGTTTCTTATTTGCTACATTGATACTTCCAAACTTTTTGAACCAGGTGCTATATCATTCGTATGGACAAAAAAGAAGTGGGCCTAAGCAAGAGTTTTGAAGCACTCAGAGTTTATCAGAGAGCTATTGTTGCTACTTAGGTAACATATATGGCACTTATTTTCAAGTTTACGAAGTTACTTTTGCATAAGACACTCAAATCTGATTTACTAAAAAGGAAGAGCTCTTTACGGCAATGGTTGTAAAATGGATTACAAAACTCTAAAGAAAACAAGAAGAACGAAATTCATATTATTTCTCAATATCTAAATCGATCGAAGTCAGACACGATCAAAGTCAGACACGATCAAAGTCAGACACGATCAAAGTCAGACACGATCAAAGTCAGACATCTGTCATGGTATCACGTCAAAGATATAACAAAGTGTCTCTGTGATAACAGAAGTCAAATTTTGAGAAAAATCATTCGCTCTCGTCAGAACCATCCTTCCTATTCTTTTGATTTAGAGGAAGCGATCAGAAAGAAGAATTTTAGAAAAAAGCAATACTTGATACGAAGAAAAAAAAAATATCAAGCAAATTGTCCCCTTCCCTTCCAAATTATGCACTCCTAAGTAATCATCTATTAAACTAAAAAGTAAGCACAGTCTTTCAGGTTTTTCAATCCTCTTAAATGTTGCTTCTTGTAGTAAAACAATGCTTCACTGTATTCTTTCACTCAAGTGAAGCGGCAATGATCTTCATTGCTTCTCTGATAGAATAGATATCAAGCTTTGATCTCAAAAAAATCTTCTTATAAGCATGAACTAGAAATGAATCGGCCGAGTTCTAAAAAAATCTTCGTTAAAAAAATTCATTTCTTTTATCAAAAGCAAAAATAAAGCCAACTGAAATTCGATTTTTAGTTGTCTGAAGAAGTGTGAAGATTTTGGTTAAGAAATATTGGTGAACAGGTGCAATTTGTGCCGGGGGTAGCAGTGGCGAGTTTGTGAAGGATAACCGATGAGGTAGTCAATGTATCACTCCCTAAATAAAGCCTATGTGAGAAATTTTACGCTGGTAACAAGGATCTGTTTCATATATAAATATATATATATGGTGTTGTGTGTTTCAGACTGATGTTGAGAAATGGAAAAAGCTTTGACATAGCGCCAGCAGAAAAGGTCATTTGGTTGCCTTACGATTAACAGGACCGTAACGATGTTTCTTCGACCGACTCCTGCGACGATAATTTGGCTCGGAAATAATGACCACTGATCTCACTAAATAGAGAATCTTCCTGAAAGCTAATCAGATAAGAAGCAACCAAACAGAATACACTTGAAATGGCTCCATTACGGAAATTGCTACTTCAAAGCAGTTGGCAAAAACCAAAGACCATTTCGGGACTAAATGGCTTAACTTATGAATCACAAATAACCAGCACACTTACATAGCAAAACCAAAGATAGTCTCGACCTTGTGTAAGACTGTTGGGCGTTCTTAATCAATGGGAGATTTATGGACAAGTCAACAAACACACATGGTTTCAAAAAGAGACGGGGACACACGCAAGATTCGATTTAGATAGGCATACTATTGTGGAGTGGGGGCCAACTTCAGGTGTCCAGATCTGAGTTAAAATACACTTTTCTTAAAAATGTATTAATTTTCTTAAAAATCAAATAGGGTTGTGATTTCAAGTGTATATATACATTAGCACTTCACCAGTCAAGGATTAATGGTTTCTCAAAAATATTAAGTTACATCGACTTGGTGGGAAAATAATGAGTAGAAGGTATGATACTGTGCACAAGTTTTTCAGTTAGTTTCGGCTCTTTCCGCAGGTTTGCATTTAATAACCTACAGACTAATTGCGGACAATTTCTATTCAAATGATATTATTTCCTCTTTTAAAGTTAAAGCTCGCATTTTTATCAGTGGCGTAGCTTGCGGTGTAAGCGTAGAAATTTGTAGAAAAACTCTAAAATTCTTGCAACACTTTTAACGGTTATAAATACGTTGTAGTGTTAAAGTCAATGCATAAAATTTTCCGCAATAAACGGCTTCTCTTTCTGGTCATGAGCAGCATGCAGTGAACTCCAGCGCAAACATGCCAATTGGCTTTTTATCCAAATGGTAAAATTCGAAAAATGGTGAAATTCGAAAAATCTGAAAAACTGAAGCGCTTCCACGCCACTCTTTTTGCCTATCTGCAATAAGAGAAACAAGCGATGCTCCAGTGCAGCTTCAGCGCGGCTCAATAGAAGCTTTTGAAAGAAGTGAGAATTTCATGGACTGGAGCTTGCGGTCATTCTGAAATTACGATTTAATTCATTTGACATAACCGTATATTATATGTTACCGCATGCCTCAGTTCTGCGCTCACGCTACGCCACTGATTTCTGTTGAATTTACCTCAAAATTCAAGCATGCCAATTTTCTTACTTTATTTCTTTGATACTTCAAAGTAATGTGTGTTCATTCTTTTAATCGGCCCCTTTGCAACCAATTAAGGATGGCGTGTCAGCTATCTTAATTAATGTTTATGTGATATTTTCAAAAATTAATAACCCAAATTATCTAATCAAAGAATGTTGACATTGTAACATGGTGTATTGTAACCTCGGGCATATTACAAAACAGCCATTGCACACAGTCACCCTACAAGCCTCTGCTTTAAGCCTCTGCTTTCAGCGACGACGAGTGAACCACGGGCCAATGTTTGGCGGATTCATAATGAAACCAGCTATGTAGCCATAGAAGAAAGAGAAAGAACTGGAATATCAAGAACATTCACTGACACAAGACCACTGCAAACACAAAACTGATTAATGTAAAGCTAGGAATGTCAACGAGAGAGGGACCTCTAGTAAACAGTTAGCTCAAATTTCCACTGCCTCCTTTTCGTCTACATTGGAAGCCTACAATTTAAAAGTTTCCGATTGGGAAATCCATTCACCTCCACAAAAGATCATGCTCCTGCAAAGAGGCACGAATAAGAACAACAAGATACGTCCGAGAACCGGGCACAGAAAACCGGCCTATCGATCCTCCAACCTGGCTGGCCACTTTTGATTTAGAACTGTTTTCAATATAGATGAATCTGTAAGTGGTTGCTATATATCCTTTCAAAACAGAAAACAGACAAAGGTGCTAGGAATACAGAAGATTTGTTGGCTGGTGAGCTTGTTTGAGAGAGGTATGGTTAACGGATTGAACAAGAAATAACAGGGGAGGACAATAGACCCATTAAAAAAAGATTGTACATAGCAGGGCAAACATCGGAATAAGAAGGTGGAAAAAGATATCATAGAAAAAATGATAGTACCAGAACAGAGAAAGTTGCAAAAAATGAGGATTTAAAGAGTCACGCACAAACCATTTACGTTTTTGCTCTGATATTACAGACTCGTTTTATCACGAGTGCTGTATTGCTGAACATTGGCGAAAACCTAGCATGATCTGGTGCTACAAACATAAAAGTACAGTGTCTGGAATCTTATATTTAAATCATGTGAAGCAGTCAGGATTCCCTTCTAATTGAGTTTCTAACCAAGGAAATCCATCCTTCAAATTTTTACCTTTGACAGAAAAGAAAATCAAACCAACCCCCCTCTCTGAGATATTTCTTATGTACCGCTCATACCAAAGAATCTAAGGTATAGAGGAAGCCAGCCCAAGGACCTCAATAGATTGGCAAGGGGATTTGAGGGACAATCTATGTAATCAAGATTTAGGTAAAAACGTTTAAAATCGTCTAGGAAAGAAATAAACCTGAAAATTATCAATATGAGACTAAAATAAAGCAATAAAATTCCCGCTTGAGGTAACACTGCACACTTTTGTATTCAGAAGAAAACTTTCAGTTTAATAAAACAAATCACGGAAACCACGGCCAGCAGAAATTTGGACTGGAATTTTCAAACCGTTAATTAAATAACAATGAACGATAATTCTGAAAAATGAAGCATTATTGTCCCGGCCTTGCTTGTAAAGTTTCTCAACTGATTTAAGGCTCTGATAGAGCCTGAAAAATTACTGTCACTACAGAAATAAATGGATTTCGTATCAAGAAAGCTTGAATGTACTGTTATCAATTTAGACAGGATAGCGATAGAAATGCACTCACCTCTAAATCGTCTTCCTCTTTCTCCAGAATTTGAAACGCTTTACGCAACAATTCCTCGCCAACACCGCGAATGCACTCTCTATGAAAGTGCAAAACATAGATTACCTTTCACGGCACGACCAAAACCCAAAATATGACCCCTAAATTCCATGTTTTGTTAAAAGTGACGTTGCTACTTAAATATTGAGATATTTGACAGACCTAAGAGCTTTGAAAATTGATTTATCTGCGATAAATGACAGCTGCTAGTATAGATTTGCTCCGCTTCAAATGTCAAGATCACCAAAAACATCAAATACATATACATAGGAACCGAAGATGAGATGTTAAAACAGATAGAGTGGAGGACATAAAGAATGATCTTGCTGTGAAAGTACGTATATTTTTGCACATGGCTGCTTTTTTGAATTGTTTACGTTTATACCCGAGACAATAATCTACATATTCGCTCATGGGAGTTTCAATCTATACGATCGAAGAAAATTATAAGCTAAAAGCAAAGAGGTCACAAATTGCAAGTAAAGAGTAAGAAAATGCTTACAGAAATATGTTTCAAATTAGTTAAAGCCGGAATGTTGCAAAACGGCAAAAAGAGAAGGAAGAAACTTAATTATGCTTTGACCAAATGCATTAGGATTCTTCACAAAAAAATAGAAAACCTTCAAGGTTTACCTTCTAAGGCGTTCGATTCTATCGTTAAGTCTTCCAGAGACAGTATGTGATAACGACGGATGTTCATTTTCGGCTGCAAATGATAAAGAAAAAGTTTTACAATAACTCAAAATCGAACGCAGAATACCTACTTGCAAATGAAAGGTATTAATATTCATCTAGAGTAAATAATCAAAATTACTTTTTATCATTCTGTCATAAAGTGTTTGATGCCGTATAGCTGTACACGCAGTTGCCTGACGATCGTAGGGTGAAACTCGGAGTAACAACCTTGAACCGTAATGTTCTTTACACCAAACCGTAATTAAAGTATATATACTTACAGTCAGTTAGTTGTTTATTCAATAAATTTCATTCAAAATTTATTGCCTTCCCTAATAAATCAAAGAGTAACAAATCAATATTAAACGACTCTTTGGTACTGAAAAACTTAAAAGTAGCAAAAAAATCGGAAACAAACTATTATAAATATAGAAGGAATACAAGCAGGATAAGCGGTCCGCCGGATTCCGTGAATCTTCGAACGAGTAATTAGAGAAACTATTACAGTAATTATAAAACGATGCCTTTGATGATGTCTTGTATGCCGGAGCGAAATAATAGTTTTGCACTCAATTCATTTCAAAATTCAATTTCACATGTTGGATTTTCATAGTCGTTTTGTTTTGTTCATGCCTATTACCTATTATGAATGTTACAATAAAAAACTTAACCCATAAGAATAATGACCAAAAGGTAAGGGAAAGAATTACACTGAGGTGTGGATTGAATTTCTGCATGGAAAACTCCAGATCAATTAACGCTTTTTTACCAGAATCGCGACAGACAGCACAGAAAATTGTTTTTTTTGAAGAACATAATGCTTTTAACTTATGGGCGAACGATCAAAGGTCAACGTAAAGTTCCATAACGAATAAGAGCAAACCTTTATGTGCAAACAAGAGCGATTCTGTAACGATTTTCCGAGAATTCAGAATTTCTCCCTGTGCTATTGAAAAAGGCTAATACCTCTGAAATACAGTCTTTGCTTTCAAACAGCGAAAAAAGATTCTTAAACTCTTTAAAGATAGACAATAGATTGTTTTACCTTCGAATGAAGAAGATTCAGACACTCCTTCTGGAGATGATGTTGACGATCGACCGGACAGTGGTCTGACATCCATGTTCAATGTCGCTTGCATGGTTCCAATCAGCTCTGTGATATCTCCACCACTCTGCTCGCTGTTTGAGAAAACATGAAAGGCAAGATTTGAATACTATGAGCCGCAAAACATCCTTACCAATGTTTTCACTGCTTCAGAGTATGGTAAATCAGAAAAACACATTTAATAAGCCTCAACCTGATTACTTCCTGAAATTTATCTAGTCTTCTAAGAGCTTTGAATTTGGATTCATAAGGTTCTACTTTTATAACTTTTTATCGCTTACAGCTGAGTCAATGTTGAAAAAAATCCGGGAAATCTTCTTGTAAAATTTGCTCTAGATTTTTTACATCTCATCAATAGTCTCTCACAGGAGTGGATATGAGTTCATGCCTTGAGCTCAAAATGTCTTGAACTAAACAATGCCATAAACAACAGCATAATTTTTAGGCTTATAACTTAATATTATAGATCGTTATTTTTATTGCCGGTTGAGAGTATACTTTCTGGCCAGTACAAGCACTATATAGATGACTTTTTAGAAGGCACATGTCACATTATGAACAATATCTCATATATGGAACGATAAATAAAAGGAAAAGATAAAGAAAAGGTATTGAAGATATTGGAAGGAAAATATAGAGGGTCCATACCAACTTAAAATAGCTATAGAACTTATCGTAATCTATATGTTGTCAACATCATCTTATTGGTACAAAGAAAAATTTAAAAAATTCTTTATTGGAACCTGACAATGCTCGCACTATCCCTGGAAACTTTTCTTCTCTGATCAACGTCAGCTTCGTTTCCGCTGTCATCACCATCAGAAGACTAAAATTGAAACATTTTTTAAATGAATAAGCAGACTTGCTAGCCAATTTTTGCCTTACATGAAAATTGCCTTACTTGATCTTACCTCACATGAAAATTTCAAAACACATGCTTGAAAAGAGCCGGCACAATCAATTCAAGGTTTCTGGCTATGATTACTGTAGATTTCAATGCTATTAGTAAAACTGCAACTGTTAACAGTCTATATATCATTTATAACATTTGTAGTCATTCATAGAGCTGCCATAATCAGATTTCTCGCCTATAACTTACTTTCTGACAGAGATTGTAATTCACACAAGCACCATTATTGTACATTATTGCTTGCAGCTATATACAATATAGATAATATGGATATAGAAATATAGAAAAGATATGGATATAAAATAAAGGGTTATACACAGTAAAATTCTATTCTACAGTAAAATTCTATTCTACAGTAAAATTCTATTCTACAGTAGATTTCTACAGAAGTGGCAATTTGTGATGTAACACAGAGAAAATTCATAGTTAAATTCATAGGGAAAAAACTTTGGAAAATTTAATTTGATACCAATTACCTTCCCCCTTTTATCTCCCTAAATATCAATGTCTCGAAAACCTGTAAAGATTTTTGCGATGAAACACGTTTCATTTATAGACCGTTAATGGGGTAAAAATATTTGGCAGTGCTATGAATGGCGAACATATGTGACATTAACACTGAATTTCTGAAAAGTGGTTACATAGGTCGATGAATTTATATTTATAGATCGTCGAAATAATGATGAGCCATATTGGACCGTTTGTGGTTGAGGTGTTGCTGAAGATCTTAATGATCTTAGAGCCTTAATGAGCGAAGCCCTTACTTTCCTGTAACACCTGTATGCCATTTCATCTGATTAACAAATAGCAAACGATTCGTGGAGCTACAATGTCTGCCAAAGGTCTTGGTACACTAACTTCTGTTTTCAAGGGGAAAGTCAGTCATCCCCCTCCACCCTTTGAATCAAAGTGGTTTACGTATTGTTCTGGGGGGAAGGGGTGCGAAAGTGGAAGTACTCACAAAAAGAATTTGAAAAATACAAAAACATATAAAGTATGAATGTTGAGTGTTCTAAGTAATTTTGGGAATGATTGTAGCACTAGCTCTGAACAGTAAAAAACAATTTTTTAAGCATATTCACATCAGTTAGCTAGAAAACAGCGGTCTGAGCTGCAGTTCAGTCAATAGTTTTTTCTTCTAGCCTCTTGCCTTAAAGTTTATGTCATTTTGATTTAGCTTTTGTTTTCCCGTGACATATATTGAGAAGTTGCTTGGCAAGGATTAAAATGTTTATTACCATTAACAAGATATTCAAAAAACATATAGGCAGAAGGTCTTGTTTCGTTGAATGAAAAAGATGGATTGATACTTGAATAACGAAAGGAACAGCTTTCCTTCAAACAAATGCCTCCTTGATAAGCATAAACAGATTTTACTTAAGAACGAAGAAAAACTTTAGCTCAAAATTCTGAATATAATGCAAAATATTACAATTTTCATCAGATTTGCAATAAGACACCTAAGTAACAATTAAGACAAAAAATTATAATAGCAACAAAAAGTGATTTTGAAAATTGTTAAGAGGCGAAGTGAAGGAAGTGAAAGAAATGAGACGTACGTTGTTTCCTGGTATCCCATCGACTGAATCTGACTCGTCGACTGCAGCGGCCTTCTTACCAGAGACTTTCTTTCGACTACCATGGGCATTCTCACTGTCTCTTGAAGCTGAGACTAAGTAGAGGGAAAAAAAATTAATACACGATCACCTTGACACTAGACACAAAGCACAAGAGAAAAAGAGTATAAGAAACTACAAAAACTGCAGGCCATTTATCAAGCCAATATTTAATTGAGAAATACGATATTCTTTTATACTAGTTCATTAAAACCAATGACATGCTAATACGAGAGGCACACTTTTGTACTTTCGAAATATCAAAACCCAAATCTTGATAAATGAAACTCTTATCTGCATATTGATTTTACCTTTCAGGTCAAATAAACGCTTTACAGGTTCTTCAAACTACGACCTCAATTCAACTCAATCAAATCAATGAAGAGAATCTTTTTGCATTTATAAAATGTTAATTTACCTTTACAAACGCAACTTTTTCCTACTGTTTTTAAAAACTTTGTTAAGATGTCCAAAATTTAAAAACTGGACATTTCATTTCTTATGCGGTGATTTTAGGGATTGTGAATGGTGTTCTATGTTAGGGACATAATGATCACCTTTCTTCTTTGTTTTGTAACTTTATTAGATTAATAGCTACGTACATTATATTTCGGGACTATAACATATTTTCAAGATTCTGGTTGAAATTCTACAGTTAAATGTCTGTCAACAGTGCGTTGGTCAAGGAAAATTTGTTCTGTAAAAGGGTCGTGAGAATTTTTCTTAAGACTTAGTTCTGTCAAGTGCATGTCAGCTACGGAGCCACGACTTTCCTGGTCACGGCTAATTCTAGACATAGCGGGCAAATATTTAAGTTTAGCAGGTATAGTTTTTGGAAGCGAATGACTCGATTTAATGTTTACCGACATTTCTGGCTTATTCTTCAGTTCATGCCTATCCAGGAATCATATGAAATCATATGCTTCACATGAAACCACACGAATGCAAATAGTTTAGCCATACCAGAATGAGACTGACTTGACGATTTTCTGACCACAGGAGGATGTGGATAACCTTCCCCAGCCATTTTCATTCTTCGTCTTTGTCTTGCAGATTCATTTGGAACACCAACTGATGGCTTAAGATAAAGAAGGTCTTTAATGACGATATCCTAGCAAAAGACCTAGATGTAATGATTTCAAATATATATATATATATATCGTCAGAATTCATATTTCTAGCATTCATAATACTTCTAGAATTAACTTGAAAATACCAACTCAAATATAATTAGGAACTTCTTTCAATACCACTCCCAATTTTCGTGATTGCATGCAATAAATTTTGTCCAGTAATGAAAAACTTGATTTTTAAAATATTTAGATGCGCAAACATGTAGAATTTAAAAACTACACCTATAGGTTGCATTAGTTACTCATAACTATTAACTAAACAAAATATTGTTAAGTCTCATTTTGGTACCTTGTGCTCTTACATTCAGTTCCTGACTTCTAAAGATAAAAGGATCTTCAAAACAGAATTTGCAAGTTGAAGGGCCAAACAGACTCTTCACCAGTGATACTTGACAGTTGGTTTCCACCCTATTCCATTCTACTAAAAACCTGTTTCAGCTTTCAAACTGATTTCCTCACTCTTCTTCTCAGTTGAATATCCGTGCAAAGTCATGTTTCTCAATGCAATTCAATTCTCTGCTTTTCACTGACACAAAACCACGAGACAAATTGTCACATGTTTACGTTTTAATCAAAATTTCCAAAGCTATTGATCAACGGAAATATTTCTTACTCTAGACAATTCTTGACTTGTACTTCCTCTCATAATTTCTAATATGATTCATCAGAGGGTCTTGATCAAGAATTTCTGAACCCACCCCTAGTAGTCGCAATGAAAGGCCACAGCATTACATTTGGTAAAAGCTCAAAATAATTGCAAGGAAATCTGTCAGTACCAACCTTTGGAAGTTTCACTTGCTCTGGGTGATCGCTGCTGATATACAAAAAAAACATTAAACCGGTCGAATTTGTGGAGCTCTAAAATGACGACGTCTTGGTTGTCATTTTAGAGCTCTACAAATTAATTGTGTTAGGAGATATAGCCACATAAGCACAGGTTTATTCCCTATCAAATAACTGCAATTTGGCCTCGAATTCATACCTTTAATTATACCTTATCATATCACTAGCAATCTTTAAATCTTTTACTGGCCATATCTCACCCAATTATGTATAAATTTAGCTGATTTCCTGTTATTTAAGGGTATTTCATGGTGTTCTTTAAGGTTATGTGGTTGAAAATCACAGTACGCTACCAAAGCTACACTAAAGATTACACACAAAGACATCAATCTGCATAAACTCCATATGAACTCGGTCAAACGTGATTAACTTTGCATGTAAAAAGAAACAATTACCTTTAGGTTGGTACGTTCTAAAATGTCATATCACAGTAGCAAATAAAGGCACCATTATATGCTATCAACAACAGAAAGAGAGGAACGAAAAAATCGCTGGACTTCTCAAAAGATATCTTTAATTCTTATCTCCCGGACACAAGAACCAGTCATAACTAGAGCTGCAAAAAATATTTTTCTTTCTGGGAACCTGGGAAACAGGACAAAATTTTTTCTGTGGGTTAAATTATTGTGTACCAGTAGTACACACCAAAAATTTGTAAACAAGGGCTTCAGATTTATTGGGTCTAGAGAAAATTTCCAATAAAATATCATAATTTAGTTGTTTATTGCATCTTTTGTGTCTTTGGCAAAGATTGACTAAGTGGAAAAAAGAAAAACTAATTGTGAACCAAATGGGAATATGTATGTTTATTGACTGGCAGGAAACTTCTTCATAGATGGTGCTCTCTACAATTACCTGGTGTTTGGGAAAGGTAATAGATGCCAACTTTAGGGAAGATAAATCATGTTACCTGTTTATACTTATCAGCCAGCTTTTTTAGCCTTTCATTTCATATAATGGGTACACACGGCAACATAAAATTTTTCATTAATAAATGGTGATATCTCAATATTCAAAGGACAAATGTAATCTGAAAGAACACGAGGATGTAACTCAATGCCAATCAAAAACTTTGCCAAGTCTGCAAAAAAGTCAGTCAAGACTCAAGTCAACTATTGTATTGCTAGCAAGAAGAAAACTTAGAATGCATGTAATTTTTGTAGCTTTTGATCTTTAAAGATCCAAAACCATAGCCTTATATAAGGCAACCAAAACAGCACTTTCACAGCACATAAATTGCCTACTTCAGGTCTGAAGCTTTATCTGTTAAAAAGGTCCTGGACAAGGAAGCTGAATGTTGTATCCAAGTTACACAATTTTTTGCGATATTTGATAAATGAGTAATAGTTATTATAAAGGTTTAGAAAATGCAAAACTCTTTTATTTGATGCAATCTACAACCTGCAGACATTAAGCTCACATTTGCATAAACTTTTGATCTATTGTGAAAAAGTCAAGAAAAAACTTTTGCTTATGCAAAATATTTTCTGCCAAGCTAAAAACACTTCTAGGAATCTAATTCCCAGGTTCTGATACTTTTTGCAGCTCTGGGCATAACCAAAACTGTGAAGCATAATCAAAGATCTGGGGAGCACAGACTATCAATCAGGTAAAAGATGAAGGGATCCTACACCCAACAGCGACCTCACATATACCAGATCAAAGGACACTACATAATGCCAAAAAGTGTTTCACATTGCTTGAAGGGCTGATTAGAAGTTTCAAGCAAGGACCAGTCGATAGGAAGCACATCAAAAAAAGTGAAGAGCCAATCTCTTACTCTTTGTCTCCTGGGTCAGTTAAGCTCCTTCCACGCTTTTCCCAATCACCTTCAGCCCCAGGTCTTGGCGGCAAGGGACGGGGGTTTTTCACTTGAATTGGCTAGGAAAAGATTAGAATGAATAAAACTTTCAATGCACTAATCATTAATTCATGTCGACAAAAACCATTCGAGAACAGTTTGTTTAAATTAGGAGATGGCTGGTGCACATAGTTTAGACCCCACGGCCGAGCTGGTGGGATCCCACTCGGGTGGGATTGAAATCTCGCATATGAACACGATCAAGTGAGCCAGCCAGGCAATAAGGAAAAGATAAACATTGCGCTTGCCGAAATCGATTATTGGTATTAGTTTTGTGACAAGCCCACTCAAATGGGACGGAGGACCTCTTTTCCACCTGAGTTGGCTATTCTACCAGAGCAGGGGCATCTCAGCTCACATGAAATGGCCTTAAGACTCTTTGTAAATATTACGAACGTGCCATATCCTCTTAGTTATGCTATATACATGAGAATTCATTGCATAATTAAGATACTTTAAGGCACATATAAAAGCATACAAGGTTACCAAATGTTTCTTTAAGATTCGACCTATTCCTCCACAGGGAGAATACTGTTTTTCGATAATTTATTTTCTTCCCTTTTTCTCTCTTAAACTTCTGTCTTACAAAGGGATATTTTTATGATAGCATTGTTTGTGCAACTGATGTAAAATTATAAGACGCAATATTAGTTTAGATAGAATCGATAGTCTAGAGACATACATGAATATATACCTTTTCAAAGGGACTGTTTGAATGTGACCCTGACTGCTTTCTGCCTTTGTGACTTCGTCTTTTCCTTTGATCTTCATCTTTGTTATCAGCTGACAATACTCTCTGTATCTTTTTAGGCTGTGCTTTCTCGCCACGCGGCTCAGCTTTCACACGCTCCTGCGCTGTTTCTTCCCGCTCATGCGAAGGGAATGTCGGTCCTTTCTGCACTTTCTCTGGTTTTTTCTCTGAAATCTCTTTTTCAACCGGTCTTTCTTCCTCAAATTGTTCATGGGACTTTGCATCATTTTCACTGCCTTTTACTACATAGTCATTCTTTCGGTCATCATTAACAATGTCTAGATCTATTCCAGATGCAGTCGCAATTGCTGCAGGATTCTCTTCTGCAGCATCTGGCTGTGACGTCACCTTCGAATCGACCTTTTTCTTGATTTTCTCTTTGTCACTGTTCCTATTGAAAGAACAGGAAAAGTTTCAGACATGAAGGGCATTTTCTTCAAAAACTACCAGTCCCCAGCACTGCCCACACCCCTCCCCCCTTAGGGGGACTTTTAAGAGTTCCATGATTTGTAAAAGTTTGTTGGCAGCAAGGAGAAGATATCAGTTACAGATTAGCCAAGGCTCATAATGGCCTTATTTCAAAAAATTAAGCGTCATACACGATTCGATTGTAGAACATTTCTTCTTTAGAAAAATGCTTAAATGGCAAAGAAGAGTATTTAAACTTAATAGCTATCTCTGAAATATAATAACCTTGGCTTCTTTCCCTCCAAAAACAATGCGATGTGCTTTTTGACGTAAGGATGGCGCAAAATTTTCGATGCACTTGGCCTGTCAGCTGGATCGTTCATTAACATCGATTTAATTATACCATTGAGTTCGTCGCTGTACTGTTTTGGCATTGGAGGCGTCTAGAAACAATTTTCGATACAATTAAACTATAAAGTCACGAAGTAACTTAAAATAAATTACACTATACTAACGAGTGAAACAAAAACTATCAATGGCTAGAATATTTATCGTACAATAACATAACCACGTAAGCCATTGGTACAGCAAAATTTGAAGATGGAAAAGGAAAAGAGGAAACACAGGGAACAATCCTAAACATGTAAATATCACATAATGTCAACGGATCCCAACTTCTGTAAATATAACTTTTTCTCTCAGACTCTTCAGCCAAGTAATAGATTGGTGGTCACCGATTTGTCAAAAACAAAGAAACAATCCAACGTGCTATTTTTCTTCTCAAGTCACTTTCGATCAACATCTGGATAGCTTTTAGCTATTTTGAGACGTCAGAAAAAGTGCTTAAATACTACTGTGCTATTTTCAAATGATAAAACTTTTGGTTGAAAAAAGTAGAAAGTCACAAGAGCATCATTATCACACGTACAAATTAGTATAAAGTTAGAATAAAACGCACGGTTTTGCAAAATGCCCCGGGAAATCCCATTTTTCCTGTTTAGGTGAACGACACCTCTGTATAGGACTGAATAATAGTAGCACTAAAGCATCTGTTTAACACTCCTGATTTTATTTACAACGATAATATGTCCATTGGCAAACCTTTCCTTTGAGAATTTTATAAACCAATGCATTCATGTCTCTGGCGTTGAAGGCGTGCTTTAGCGTCGTCATTTCATAAACACAGCAGCCAAGAGCCCAAACATCAGACTACAATTAAGGCAGAAGAGTATAAAACAGGGAGAGTGATTTTTACCTGCGCAAATATACAGTTAAGGTGTACAAAGGTAATCTGTTAGGATCGGAATATTAATTCTAGATACGTACAGCAATAAATTAGATATAAAAGTTATGCGCTATGCACATTTACAAATATGTAAGAATTCTTTTAAATATGAGATACAAAGTTGGGAAAATATTTGTAGCCACTTGTCAGTTTTTACTTGGAGAAATATATAAAAACTGGTTTATTAGAAATATATAGAAACATTTCTAAAAGATTTTATAAAAGCCAAGAAAAAGACAGGAAAGAAATCCATTTTTAGACTTTTTTGTTGTATGAAAATATTGGAATGAAGTCTAAAACGATTGCCTAAAGAATATCTCACCCTGTGATTGTATGGTTTGTTTGAGAAAAGTTCAGGTGACATGTAGTATGGTGTGCCAATCAGGGTGGTTGCCATGTCAGATGTGCTCTCAAGAACTCTAGCAATGCCCAAATCACCAACCTGAGTATATATAAAAAGATGCCATACCCAAAAGAATAAAGAGCTATTCCAAATCTTAACAAAAATTTAGAATACAGTAGCTTTAAATCAATAAAGAAACACATAGCTACATCAAAAAAATTAAAAGAAAGCAAAAAATCAAAGTAAGAAAGAAGAAATTATAGTCCTTTGATGTCTCTGCAGCATTGAATTAAATTCTTAGAATATGACAAAAATAAATTCACCTTGATGATCTTGCTCTTGGTAAGAAAGATATTTTGTGTCTTCAAGTCACGATGAAGAATATTTCTATCATGCATGTACTGGAAAAAACAGAATTTCAGGACTATGATAGTAGAAAATTAAATACATATTGAAAACTGTCCAACTGTCCAAAGGCTAAGAGCAAAAAATCAAGAAATTTCCTCAAATTTTTCTAAAGTAGTAAAAATTTGGAGAAATATAGTCTCAATCAACTGTGATGCAACTCACTTTTAAAAATTGATTATGCTACAAATTTTCCCATTGAGAAGGAGAAAGAAGCACAAAATTACAAAAACTTTTCGCTAAATTTTGAAAGTATTAACTAATTATTTCGAAATTTTCCAAATATTCCAGTCCCTGCTAAGGATTCTATGGTTGCTTTTTGCCAAGTTCTGTCTTAAATGCCTTCTTTTAGAATAAAGCTTTCTTTCACAAAAGGCTGAAACAGAAGGAAGTTACCTACAATAGAAACTTCCCTTTCAGACCACAATGAGAATATTGAATACCAAAAAGTTTTATTTTGGCCAAAGAATGTCTAGTATCAAAATTGTTCCATACTTTTTAATCAGAATTCATTCTTCACCTGTTGTAACATGACTTACTGCATGAATGTAGCAATCAATTGCAAAACCATTGTCAAGCACACAAATTTCAAAGAGCTTGAAAAGGCAGAGGAAACATACCTGCAAAGCCATTGCAATTTGCACAAACCACTCAACTATTTGTCTTTCACCTAAAAGTTCATTTTGTTTTGCTTGTTCTTTCAACTTTGAATAAAGATCTCCTCCTTCACAGTAACCCATTACAATATGTAAGAAACCATCTCCAGATTGAAAAGACTCTTTATATGAGACAATGTTTGGATGTTTAAGCTTAGACAGAATTTGAACCTGATAGGGTAAAAAGGGAAAAAAGATTATGTTGCAGCTTGAAATATTAACTTAATGCTAAATCAAGCAGTATAATTTTCTAAAACCTGCCATCAAGGACCCATCATGGATGTGTTCTGCCCCTGAGACTTGATCTTGATCATGGAAAAATATATCTATCAGTTTGTCATTTGTAATTTATAGTACTTTTTGTTTATTATGATTAAATTGAGGCTATCATTTGAGAATGAAATGAAGATTTTAAAAAAAAGACCAGATCTGCTAAGAATTGCTAAGCACTTTTCCAAAGAAAATGACTGAGATAGAAATAATATCAACACACCTCTTGTTGTGCAAACAACCTTTCCTTGTCAGAGGCCTCATGTAAATCTATCTTCTTAATGACATACTAGAAGAATAACATTAGCTATAAGATCAAGGAAATTTAACTTGAAACAAGAAAGAAGTTGCAATCTTTCTGCTAATTGAAAAATCACCATTTTTCATATCCACCGTAATTATATAGAATGAGATTTTGGAAAACGTTACAAAGGAGTTGTTTCTCACCTGGAATTATACTGAAGATGACTCTAGCCAGAGTCGAAATATTTTGAATTTAATTTAATGGACTTGTCGTAATGGAATTGCCTAAATTCAAACTGTCTTGATGGATTTGTCTTCATTGGAATTGTCTATGATGTAGCATGAAGTTGACAAATACATGATGTCTTTTTTCTTTGTCGTGGTACTGGTTATCAATTTAATTATATAGAAGCTCCCTAAAGCTTGGTTTCCACTATGAGTTAACGTGAGTTAATTTGAGATAATTTTGTGATCTGACATGGTTTAAAAATTATCTCATAGTGGAAACAGTCATTAAAAATTATCTCATGAAAATTAACTCGTGTTAACTCACTTTATCTCATGAGCTTGGAAACAAAATTTTTTGATTTCAAGCTCATGAGTTAACTTGAGATAACATCTTATCAAAAGAAGCCGATGCGTGGGAGGGGAATGTGCTATAATTTGCACTGAGGTTCTTACGCAACGCACTTGCACTGAGTATTACTTTAGATGTTGAAAACAGTTTTCTTTACTAAAAAAAATTAATTGTGAAAAAAGAGAAACATTTTCTCATTTCTAAGATCCTGTTGCAAGTGGTCGTATTCACCAAACGCATATCTTTTTTTGGTAGACTCTCCGTACCGAAAACCTTGGCGCAGATCGCGAACGGCACTTCTAGCAAAAAAATTTTTCCTTCTAAGTATTGTCAAAAGCAGAAGTAAAATAAGTTGTTCTTGTAAGACGCCCGCCATAGCTGCAAGACTCAAATAAAATGTGATTTCTGAAATTTCAATACTTAATTCTATCTCAAGTGGAAACCGAATCGGTACATGGGTTAATTTTGAGATAGCTCGCGTTATCTCACGCTATTTCACACTATCTCAAGTTAACTTGAATTTAGACCATGAGTTAATTTTCAATTTAGCTCAGAATTATCTCACGTTAACCCATAGTGGCAACCAAGCATAATGGCACATTTCTTGCTGGGGCAACTTGTGCTGATGTTTCCATGGTTCCAAAATTCATTGTCACAGTTGCTGTCATCATATTGTGATCATCTCAATAAAGTTTTTAGCTAGAAACTCATAAAAGAGTTTATTTCAATCGTCTCTTGGGTTAATACAGATTCATTCAAAATTCTTGCTATGTTGATTGTTTGTAAAGATATTTGGAAATATCTTTCATGGCATATTGTTGATTCACTCATCCTCAACTTTAAAATTCTTCCATTCACTGCTGAAGAAAATCAAGCCAGTATTTGAGTTGTTTTTAAATCATATTTCAAAACTTATATGACATTAAACTTTGGTTGCGAACTTGAAGCTGGAATCTTTATGTCATTGCAGGTCCTTAGGAATGGTTAAGCACATATGAGCTTCTCCTTTTGCAAAGCATGATAGCGGATTTAAAGATATGAGTTTTATATGTATGATAACATTCCCTGGTGCTTATCAAGATCCCATAAATCTGAAAAATGCTTTTTGATCAAGCAAAAATGCCATTTATAAACTCGAAAATACACTGGCCCCTAAACTGTAAATCCACAGTTAAGTTTGATACTGGTTTAGACAGCACATCAAACTCAAGGTGAATAGGTTCCTGTTAGCACATAAGAAGGAATTCCTTCATTTCTGTTATTTCAGTAACACAAAATTTGTCCAAGTCAATAAACATTGCCTTGTCACTATGCTTTAATAAACATTGCCTTATTTGCAACCTTTTTAGGCATGCCTAAAGAGACACATCTTTATATTGATTGTTATTAGATCCACCTCATGTAAAGACAAAAAGACATAAGATCCATGATCACTTTAAAAGATATAAAATTGTAATACTAACTTGCTTCTTGTCTCTTTTGTGGCGGGCAAGAGAGACTTGACCATAGCTTCCCTTGCCAATGAGCTTCCCAAGAGTGTAACTCTCAAGAGGCATTTTTATTGATCAAATCAAAAAACATACTTGATTTTCTACTTTTGGATAAGCATCCTGTAACCAAACAGAGAAACAAAGAAATATTACTAAAAATTTACATAAGAAGGATGTCAGGCAGATATGATGCAGTCTTATTCAATCTCTACTTTTCAAAAAAGCACCTAGTGGCAGTTTGATATAATGTTTAAAAAAATATCATTGCATCAACCGTGGTCTGAGCAGAATAATATTCATGTTAATCTAGATTAGTTCTCATATTTTTTATTACTGGTCCTCACCAAAAATCTGGTGAAATAAGAAGTTAAACACTTTCTGTAAGTTATCTCTATCTTTAGAGCGCAACCATAAAGATACAAAAATCAAATATTTTGATTTCACCCTAATAAATGGGACTGAAGAGAATGCAAGCATTTCTAGTTAGTTATATTTTCTATTGCCAATCAAAACAAAGGAATTAGCAATACTCTGATTGATTGTGAGTTAAAAACTGAGGCATCCAAATGTAAACCACTGGAGAGTTATAAAAAAATAACTGAGAGAAACTATGAAGAGCCAGTAGAAGCATAAAATTTCCTTGTTATTTTGAAAGTCCATCAGTGTAAAATGAAATTATAATAGCGTTTGAAAATTTCAGTAAGAAAAATTTTTTTGTTCCAAAACAAATTAAGTGGGATTAATTTTCTATTGTCCTGCTTCAGCAAAAAGAACCCATATAAATTTTTGGCATATAGTACAAACAGCTTTGCTTAAATAAAGATAACTCAAAACAAAACAAAAAATGTAATTTCTGAATGTTTTTATTAATGTTTTTTAAATGACTTAATGCATGTCAAAAGGAAAGAAATGTTTTTAATTTGCACTGATTCAGCTAGCACAAAGTAAATTTTATTTCTAGATTCAAAAGTTTGTTGAGATAACTGAAACCTATAGGTTCAAAATGACCATTACACATATTGCCAACATTTTGCAATGAAAATCTATCACAAAGAATTCTAGAGCTCTTTAAAGTATAGTAAAACTTTTGTATGAGGGTGAATTTACACTACCAGGACAAAAGTATTGCAACACCTGCGAAGGTGATCAATGGCAGATCACGCAACAACTTTTATTGTTGTCTGATTAAGCTATTGTTTAATCAGCCAATGGTAGGCAAATAAAACTACAAATTCAATGAAGCATAAATTAGAATATTCCATTTTCATTTTTCCAAGATTTTAAATCAGCAATTCAAGTAACTTTTAATTGAACAAGCATTTTGCAGAGGTGCTTCTGGCTCTGATAAGTGCGGAAAATTGCTTTGGAATTGATGCACAGAATTTGTTGATGAAATGCACTGGGATTCTCCTTCATTCTCCATAACTCTCCAAGTCAGTTTTTGTTCCAAGGATTTCAAATCAGATCATTTTCATTGGCAATAAGAAATTTTTGCTTATTGCAAGGTTAGACCTTTGAGAAAGACAAAGAGTTTGAAGATTTTTAGGTAAATTTTAGTAAAAATGGCCTTGTAAGACCTGACCTCTCACTATTATCACTATTATTTTCTAAAATATTTTCAAAATCTTTAGAATTAAAAGACCAATTACACAAAGTTTTATCACAACTACTAAAGCTCCTGATCCTGTCAATATTTTATTTAACCAATGCAGATATTTTTCTTATAACTGTAAAAAAATTTTATGCTAAAATTGTAATTCTAAGTATTCCAAAATCCTCAATAAATTTCAAAGAATTTGACCACTGGTCTAGCATGATTATTTTCTCTTTAAAGGGGAATATTTCAGCATAAGGACGTAAGCTTGTAAAACTTCAATTTTTTGGATGCCATTTTCATTTGGATGTTGCAATACTTTTGTCCTGGTAGTGTATGTAAATCTCATACAGGACAAATGGCCAGCAAATTATGAAGCGGTGCCAAAAGTTTTATAGCTTAATAAGCATGCATGGAGGCATGAAATGATTCACAATTTTTTTAAAGCAGCTGGTTATCATCAACCCAGTCCAGAGTCTTGAGGCTAACAAAGTTTATTTTTAAGACATACTCATTCACAGTACTAAAGCCCATGCCAATATGAAATTGGTAACAGATATCTCTGGCAGAAGTTAGATTGATCTTTAATATTATTCCATGCCTGGCCTGCCTTGCTATTTAACACAATTAAATATTTGAATATTGGAATAGATTTCAGCTAGTCTCCCCTGCTCAATTCCTAAGAGAAAAGCAACCTTGAGATCTAGTGGTATATATAAGTTTAATCTAAAAGTATTTATTTTATCACTTCAACCCCCCCCCCCCCTCCCCCCCCTTAATAAAAACGAAATTCAAAAAATCATAAACATGCAAGAATTTGGCTGCTGTTGTCCACACCTTACTGAATATTATACAAATTTCGCGTTTGAAGTTGAAAATCTTTTATGTTTACAAAAAGTTTCAGAATTTGTTTGAAACAAGACCAAATGAAAGGCTTGCTTCTAAGATAGCATTATCCACCTTCCTTCAGCAAACAACCTTGATTTGTGAACATGATGAAATGAAATTGAATTAATAAAGTTTGACCTATTTATTTATTGCGTTAAGGCGATCCTATATGCATAATTATTGCCGATGCAGCATTGAAGCATGATAAAATTTGAAAATATAACAAATCAAAGTGAGATTTACCATTTTATTTCCCATCACATTTGGTTAGTTCCCTTTTCAGGCTGTTCTGTATTTGTTGCTACTCAGCCCTTGGATTGAGTTGAATTGATTCTCAAACGAGACAAGTTTGCAGAGCCAACACGAGACGTCATAACAATCTAAATTCAGAATTTTAAAATTTTGATCACATAGCCTTAAAGAGCACCGTCATGGGCTCCGACGCAGTTTGGAAGGTGGGGGGGGCAAGGGAGATTTTAACAATCATAACAAAAGAATTTTTAAAAAGCTCTATTATTTTGCAAAAAAGTGGGGGGGGGCATGGCCCCTTCATCGGAGGCCCTGACTGTGAAATACTCCTTAATATGTAAAATCAGCTAACTTTGTCAAAAAACGGGTGATGTATGGTTTATGAAAAATATGAAGTGTGCTAACGGATTACTGATAATTTGGCTTTGTTGTCATGTGGTCATATCTCGACAAATTCGTAACAAATTTAACCGATTTTGCACATTTAGTAACACTTTATGATGCTCGTTAGGTTTTGGGATCCAAATTAAAAAATTCTAGGAATATTTATTTATGTCGTCATCACTTAAGAACTCTATATGCCTATTCTTAGACAGAGCAGACCATACTCAAGTGGTGCATGGAAATAGCCCGACTTTGTGAAAATCTGAAAATAACAGAATTCAGCTGGATCTCTAAAGAGCGGAAAGAACATAATTCATGGACAGAGTCACATCGGCCAGTATTTAACAAGACCGTACATTGCACCCTCTTGCAAAGGAAGACTTGCATACTGACTTCCTCTAGACTAAATAACATAAGTATTTTGCAAGTAATCTGCTAAATTTCAATCCAGTTAAAAACAATCAGATAAGTTCAGTTTGCAATTTTGTTATAACCAGCTTAGACACAAAGGAGCCACTACGGAACTAGAGTGTAAAATGATTAACTATCTTTAATCAACCCTGTTGGTAAATTTCTCATGTTACACCCCCCCCCCTCCCCCACTCAAAAGCCCTTCGACACGCCACTGACTGAATGAGAGTGGACACGCCGGGTGCATGCAAGAAAATAGCGGCGCCACGGGAGGACACGCCCACCGCTTAATTTTTTCCCCTGACAATATGTTGCGGCTGGCGCCACCACTGATGGAGGACGCACAAAGTTTTCAGATCAGCTAAAGTTATTTTGAATATCAATGTGGCTTTTAAAAGTCAATTTCTTCATCTTAAAAAGAATAATATAAGAATCGCTCTTACAAACTTGAATAAGTACAAGGTTAAAAACAAACTTGGATAAGAATAAGCAAAATTATAACAATCAATGAACTGTTTAAAATTCCTGGAATACAATGATGTGCCCCTTCTTTTCCTTCTGTAATTCCATTTGTTTGCTGATGATACTAGCATTTTCCAGCCAAACCATAATCAAAGGAGACTCTAAAAAATATTTTAAACAATTACTCAGCTCAACTAAAGTATCAAACTGATTGATTGCAAATAGATTAACTCTAAATGTCTTATCATTAGCGTTATGGCATGGGCATCCTCCTCCCTTCCCAAGAAAATTCTCCCATAAAAGTTAACCTAGCTATAAAAAACCGATTCGATTACGCCAAAACATTAGATAAGGCATTTTGGATGTCTACTAGGCTAGATTCAAGCAAAGTCTAAAAGATTTATAAGATATCGTCTTGACAAAGCGCTAAAAATAATAAAATTTGTAAAATTTACATCAAGCACTGAAGACATTTTCCGTTAACTTAGAATGCTAAATGTCAATGATGTGCTCTTTACATCTAACATTCTCAAATTCCATTGTAGAAATAAAGACATAAAAAGTAGAAATAAGAATTGTAGAAATAAAGAGCTAACCGACTTTAAACTTATTTTGGTCCCAGTATCTCATCTTTTGTGAAGATTCGTTGATAACACGCTTAAGAAAAATCTAATGCCCCTGTTACTCACAAATTGATCTGCATTTTCCTTTTCAACAAACTCCTCCACCATTCTACTTCTGCATCCCTCTTCTAAATGACTCTCCACAGGTCTCGTCCCCTTTTCAATCAGGAGCGTTGTCATTGTCCAAACGATTAGTTGGAAAAGTCGGTACATAGGCTAACTACTATAGCAGGTGTAACTTTTTAGTTGTTCTTTCCTTTTGGCACATTAAAAGAAGTGGGCTTGAAAATAAACTGCCATGATTTGATCGGTAGACGATTCTCAAGTAAAATGTATTTGTCTAAATGTTTGTGATTTGGATCATGAATCATAAATATTTTCAGAAAACTTTATTGCCCTTGGACCAACTTGAGAAAGAATCTCAGAAAATTTGGGGCCCCTTAGCGCTAAGGGACCCTGGGCACAGCGCCCAGTGCCCCTTGTGGCTAATGCGGCACTGCAATCGAAATTTGAAAAAGTCTGAGAACCCTAAGAGAAATATCTGTCGGAGACATTTAAAAAAACTTGCTCCCTCTAAAAATCAATATGTCGATAATGAGAGCCCTATCACCAGCAGCACATCAATCTCAGTTGTCTCTACTTATTAATTATTCATGTTTTTTCTTTTCACTTCTTACTAAATTATGCTTGCTGTTTTGCTATGTTCTGCTAGATATCTCAAATTCAAATTTGTTAATTTTGAAATTGTTGGGGTTGAAATTGTTGCATACAGCGTACACTCGTCACCAATTTCTGAAAATTTTACAGCGCCCCCACTACCAACTGCCCCTCCTTCAAAGTTGCTCTGGATCCACGAGGTGTTGACATCCTTTTATGAAATCTAAAAATTTCCTTATAAATTTTGCTATATTTGCAACAATTTTATTCTGCCTATTGCTTGACATCAAAGCATCAAATTTGAACTTAGAAGGATATTTTTAAAAATATTGAGGTATCGCAAGATTGTGATTCGCAGAGGGTAGTGTCTTGAGATAGTTTTCCATTTCGAAACCTTTCTTAAAAATTGAGTACATTTTTCCTTTATTTGATTCCTGCATTTCGCTACTCCATTGTTGAAGAAACTGATCATTTAAGAATTTCCACTAGATTAACTGCACTATGTACATATTGCATATCCGATATATGACAGCCCCGATTCATCAAGGGTATTTAAATAAAGTCTGATATAGTTTAATATACGATAATTGTTCTTGCTTCCCAGTACGCATTTTCCAGTAGGCAAAGAGAAGTTTCTGCTGCAACTTTGTGGGATGGCATACAGTCCGCGTTTGCGGTGCGGTTCTTGGTGATATTGCTTAAAGAGACTGTCGAGTCTCTAAGACTCGTACGTACTTTATTTCCATTTTCCTATACGCTCTTTTTTTATAAGAACAATTTTATAAGAACACGAGCCTCAAAACTGGTCAAAAGTTAAGAACAAATTAAGAAGAATCTGAGACCCCGTTTACACTGTGCCGGATAAAATTTATCCGCATAAAAGTTGTTCGGATTGATTTGCGTTTACACTGTGCCGCACAAATTTTGTCCACTTTGCCCTCCCGTTTACACTGTGCCGGATAACTACAGTCACGTGACCTGAATCATTCGCGTTCAGACAAAGTCCGAGAAAATTGTCAAAGCACATTAGGCCAATATAGTTATAATAATTCTTTGTTTGAAATAACACGTCACAGAAATGGCAAACAAAGTAGGGAAAGCTGAAAAGGACGCCAATTTCACGTGGACTGACGAAAAGACAGCACTTTTGATACAAGTAGTTATCGACTATAAGGCAGCAAAGGTGGCAAAAGGTCTTGATTGGGAGACGGTGAAAACAAAATATAATGAAATAGCCACTCGTTTCAAGCAAGATATCCGAAAGCTGATTCGGGAGTTAATAGTGATATATCCCAATTCTGAAAATCCAGATAAAATAAACAAAGCAACACGATTCTGTTTACGAGAAATGAGATTTGGCGCCACCTCGCGCCACCTTCTTTCTCTTTATTGAAAGAGCCTCGCTGTAAATCAAAATCAGCCTCGCAGCGGATGTGGATAAAATTTATCCGGATAAAACCGTTTACACTGTACCACATAGCTATCTGAACTAATTTAATCCACTTTCCTAAGTGAACTAATTTTGTCCGGATAGCCGCTCTCAAATTCGTGCGGATAGCGTGGGTCTAGTGTAAACGGTAGCCCTATCTGAACTAATTTTGATGCGGATAGAATTTATCCGGCACAGTGTAAACGGGGTCTGAGGCTGAGCTTCTAAAAAAACCCAATTGCAAAAATGTTTTTTTTCTCAAAATCGAGGATTTTTAGCGATGTGTGGGTGCTTTTTCGGTGAATATTCAAATTTGTCGGCAAATTAAGGCTCTCTCACTCACTTTGTTGGCAAACGAGGCCTGAACACCTCCTTAGAGCGAAAAAGCTAGCAATAGCACAGCTTATACCCTCTAAATTACGAACAAATTAAGAACAATCCAGCCGCAGATTTTCGAAAAAATTAAGAACAGTCAGCCTGAACTTAAATTTACTGGTTCTTATAAAAAAAGAGTGTAATAACCAATTGTAAATTTTAGTGTGCAATTTAAACTTTTGGCATGTCAAAGAACATACTCAGGCAGGGGGTGTTTTATGTACCTGCATATAAGAAACTTGAAATGTTTATCAAGATAATTTGGTTTCTTATAAACAATAAATTAGTTTTAATCGACTTATGTAAAAGGCTGTCCCTAAACGAATCTGTCCATAACATTACAGACTCATTTGAAGACAGCATATGATGTGTATAAAATGAGGAAGAACGCCATAGTAGTCACAAAGGCGCGTTTGACAATTGATGTGTCCTCGTGGTGCAGTGAAGACCGTTCTGGTGTTATGGGTCCTTTTTAACGTTAGTACTTAAGGTTCCTAGGTCTTAGGCTCTGGCTTTTACGGTCTCAGTATCCTTGGCAACATGTCATAAGTCTTATTCGAGCACACTGAAATGATAAATCTTTGATTGATTTACATCCAACTTACATAAATATGTCGTTGTCGTTGAATTACGAATTCAAAATGTGAACAATAACTGGACTGCGAGGGAGCACACATTGTTGCTGCTGTTGTCGTTTTGAAACCGTACCGCGCGATTTCGTTTCGTCGTCGAGTTTGAACACTTCTGGCAGTGTTTGTTGAAAACATGAAGGTCTTTGTTTGTATTTTGTATTTCTTCTCTGTCTTAAATGGCGAAGAATCAGTTAACAAGATAGAATTTGAAGAAAGTCCTGAAGCAGCAAATCGGGGCAAAGAAGCACTGAAAAGTTACGAATCAAAAAATAATCTGTGTTGGCTAAATGTTGTTTCTGAGTTAAAGTCGAAATGTAGTGAGATGACCGACCTGGAGCGCCGTATCCTCGCAATAAAATTCTCTAATTGTCATTTTGAGGAATCAGGCCTTAAAACGTATGAATGCACAAACGAAGTGGAATTTAAAGCCTGCACAAAGTCTATGACTGAAGAAAGTCAGACAGCGTTTCTTGTGTACACAGAGTTTTTCACTCACGTTACAGACATATGCTTTTACCTTCAAAGTAAACTGTGGAGGGAAAAAACAGCAAAAACAATATCTGATCTGTCGTGGACGGCCGAAAAGACTGTGGCTAAACTTGATAAATCCCTGCAAAATCAAAATTTGGTTTTAGAGGCACAGGATAAGGCATTGTTGAACCAACAACAAATATTGGAGAACGAAGAGAACCTTAAAGCGTCTCTCGAGAACTCGACTACTACTGCAAAAGCAGCATTCCAAGAAATGAAACAAAAAGCAGATGAACAGCAAGCAATCTTTAGTCATACATTTGATGGAATTTTCAATGGCATTGACAAGCTCTCAGAACTGCAAGCAATGTTACTTGGAGAATTCATTGGTCTCCAGTCTCTGGCTTTTTATATTGTTGCAGTTGTTTCATGTTACTTGTTCACAAGCTCTCCAAGAACCCTCGATGCAAGGCTGATTTTGTTTTTTGTTTTTGCTCTTTTGGTTATTGTTGAAAAGATGATCATCAGATGGGAAGTGGAAAAAAAGGATCACAATGAATCGTCAAATGTATGTTATGTTATCTTTTGCAGAATTAATGCATACTTCTGGATTTGTATTTTATATTTGTTTCTACCTAGCTTCCCTAAGTAGTTTTTGAACACAAAGAAGATGTGCTTACTGTGCAGTGTCCTGTTCCTTCCTTTTCATTTGACCACCTAAATATTCCTACATCTGGAATTGCACACTCGTTTTATACTTGTGGTTGCACACTCGTTTTATACCGAATATTTCAAGATGGCTTATAGTTTGTGAAGTCTGGGTATAAAAATCATTATGTTAATCGTTAATTGCATTATGTACTTGGACCTTTGCTACCAAACTTTTTTTTGTATTTGCTTCTACCTAACATTCAAAGGTAATTTTTATATGACACTGAGAAACTGATCCTTATCGAGCAGTGTCCTGTTCCTTCCTCTCAATGTAACCACACCTCCTGATTCCTACGCCTGGAATTAAAGAGAGCTGGCAACTCTCCTCACTCTTGGTGAAAGTTTGGTCATGCCAGGGACTCGAACCACAGACCCTTGGGTCTGTAATCAGCGCCTCCAACAACCAAGCCATCCTCCCACTGCTCGATAAGCTACCAAACTGCAAAGGAGGTTTAAACAACACAAAATAGGAAAGAGATTTTGCCCAAAATTACTCTGAGCTTGATAAACCCTTAATAAACATCACTCTTTTTCACTTTTATAAACAGGAACTAGAACTGGCCCTTGCTTTAAAAGTTACATCTGTAATGTTTGTCTTTAAAATCCTTTACATCTGAGGGTAGTATTTTTTTTGAAACAATGCATGTGTGATGTTGTGAAACACATAATGGTAACATAAAACTCTTTATTTTTCTCACCTAAACATTCAGATTACCTGTCATTTTAAATAAAAGTAACTATTTGTCCTATCTCTAACATATCTTTTTTCCAAAAATTGTCATGCTATAGTTTCAAGCACTACATATTAAAATTTTGAAATTCTTGTTAGATTGCATTGTTCATTACAGGAATGGTTGCATGAAAATGTTTGGTTTGTCAGAAAGATTTTCATAGCAGTTTCCTTGTTTATTTTGGGCTATTTTGCAACAAAGTACAAAGACTACACGGCACTGAACAATTTGATTCTGCAAGAACTTCAGGAAAAAGTTCAAAAGATGTATGAAATTGAAATCAAAAGAAATGACAAGATCTTACCAGTTGGTTGGGAGCAAACAGATAGTGTACCTTCTTTAGTCACAAATCATCCTAACGCTATTGATGCTGAAGAAGGAAAATTGTAAGTTTAATTTTTTATTGGTTCTTGATTATTTAGCCCTTAACACCCTGGCAAGATTCATCTCTAGAGTTTTCTAAGATCTCAATAACTTATATGTACATATATGTACATAAACTGGAAAGAAATTACCTTGGCAAAAACATGTCACCTTGCATGTTTAACAATGAAAAATACAATGACAGACGTAAGTTATAACAACAGTGAAAAAGGACCCAGAGTAGATGAGCATGATACCAAAATCAAGCCTAGAAGAAATTCTGACCAAAAAGTTCAGACAAAATCTTATAAAAGAAAGTTGAAGAAATGAAAAACTTGGTAATGATATGTTTCAATTATGATCAATCTACCCTTATGAAACTGCGTACTTAGGTTTTAACTATGTACCACTAGTTATTTTAAAAACATTCAGCCAGATAGTGCCTAATTTCTTTACCAAAATGTTTGTTAGAATTGGACATAGGAAAAATTACAGCATGAATTAAACATTTTCAATTTGAAAATGGCTTTGAAAAAAGAGAATATTTCAAGACATGCTGAAGACTTTGGATTGACACTATTCAAAGAACTAAACATCAGAAAAATATTAAAAACTTCTGAGCTAAGAAATTCATATACCTAGTTGCGGATTGAAAAAAAACCAAATCAGTACCATTTGCTTATGGGAAATATGACCAATAGAGTCAAAGGGTGAAAACAAATTCCTTCTTTCTAAAATTCCAGGTTGGAATAGGTGATGATTATTGTGACGTTTTATACACTGACAGACAAACAACTTAAGAATGTTTTAAAATTATGAAGCCCTATATGCTGGGGCAAAATATTAGCCATTACTAAATTATGTGTGTTTGTTGTTGTTCATTCTCATCACATTGTGATGCTACTTATTTACTACATTTTATCGATTTTTCACTGCAAGACTTCCATCAGAGTCCATTGAGCAGCCTGCTATCCTGGCCTTTTCTTTATTCACACGTTTTAAAATATTTACTTTCCCAAAGCCATTTGAAATCTTGTACCACGAAAATTCACATAGTCTGTGTTATATCACTCTGCCACAGTTGTTCTGTTTCATCTTTGTCATATGTTTTATGCTGGTTCAGTATTTCATTTTGCAGGATAAAAAAGGGGATGTTTCCGCATCCAGGATCAGTAATTTTTATATGAAATTTAAATTGATACATTGGAATACAATTTTAAGGCAGGTGCATTGATAGGAGAGAAATTTTGCTTTTCCATTTGTTTTTCTCAGCTGGAAATTAGGAAATTTGACACTTTGTGAGATAATAATGACACAAGTGAATGCAGAAAACAACAACTTCAGCATATGCAGAAATCACCAAATCGTCAGACATACCAGGGCTAGAACAGCACAAATAAAATATTTTTAAGGTGAAGTGACTCTCCATTGTTGACGGTACTGAACATTCCAAAAAACTGAAAACCCTTCAGGGCTAAAATCGATTGAACCACAGCTTACAAACCACACAAAAAAGAATTATGCACAAAGTTCCTTCTATTTACTTCATCTTTTATGGGTGGGTCGGCGATTCATGTATTTTTCTTTGAAGATGGCACAAAATAGCGGAAACATCAGGCACCGTGGAGCAGGGGGGCTGGGGGGGGGGCTTTAGCCCACTTTTTCAAAAAATGCCAAATATTAAGTATCAAACTGCCAGAAAAGCCTCTTTTCTTAATGCTCTGCGGTGGCTGAACATATTCTACTAAGCAGGTGTAGATCGAAAGCAACGGGTGTAGATCAAAATTTATAAACAGGGTGTAGATCGAAAGCAACATGAGAGGAAGCAAGAGGCATTTGATTCTTTCTTCAGAAAAGTGCTTCAGTGCGCTTTGTTTCTGCAATTTCGAGCCACCTTAAAGCTTTGCGCTACCAAAAACTTGTATGTATTTTTTCCATGTGGCCTTCAACAAAAAATCTTGGACAGCCCTGCATTTGGGGAAAATATCAAGCCAGAATATGGCCCAGAATATGGCAAAGACATAATGCAAAAAATCTACAAAGTACCAATATAAACCCTTCAATTTTTAATACATAGCTTTTTTAAATATTATTTCTAGTCAAGCACATCAGATATCCTCGACACCAGCCCAGGAACAGATCAGAGAAGCTTCATTTCTAACCCAGCATTCTACTCTTCCAAGAACAATACTTTCAGATGATGGATATGACACTGACAAAGAAATGAAAAAGAAAGCAAAAAAGTTTTCCAAAAAGAATTTTATTAAACAGAGTCTGACATCCAAGAAGAAAATAACCAGTGAAATTTGCAAACATACTCCAAAGATTGAGGTAATCTGATCTCTACTATTTCAATTTTTTTCGAAATCCATCCAACCAATGCTAATTTGATAATGAGGTGTAAATATATACACTTGGTGAGCAAAAGTATTGCACAGGCTGAGACAGAAATGGCCGCACCACAGCAAAATTTTTTTAACAAACCAAAATTAAAGTGGCCATAGTAAGTTTCATAAAAGTTATAAGATGACTTTTTAACTGGAATATGTTGGATAATTTATCAAGGTTTGCTGGTGAAAATAGTTAGTGCATGAATATTCTTGATTTTTGCCTATTTCTAAACAATATCGACATGTCGCAAAAACACAAAAATTGAGCCATAATGATTGAAGTACCTGTGAAACATTTGCAATAAAAATTTAATCTTTGCACTAATTTGCGATATCTTGTTACAATGAACTCGGGGGTACTTACTTTATGCTTGGGTGTCTAGAACTGCTCATTTTCTACACTTTGGTTAGAGAATATCCTAATCGTTTAAGTCAAAAATTTTTGGAGCTGCAATGGGCCTAGTCTCAGCGACTGACTCATGATATGTTGTTGCAGAATTAAATCAATAAATGTGTCACAAATTGTCAAGTCCGTCTTTTCCAAACGATTTCCATTTTGTAATGGAAACAAATAATGCTGCGAATTGCGTAAAACAACATTTCGTCCTCTCATTAAATGAAAATACCAAAATTCCCGCGATAAACAGGTTCACTCAAGTGCCTCAATAGCTGTAAAAGAGTAGGCTTAATAAAATGGCTAAAAATATGCCACTTTCCACCAAATACAAGTCCATTTATGATCAACTTGGTACTCCAATACCTAAATGTCATCTTGCAAATGTTTTTCTGAACTTATCATTTCGCGATTAACAGAAAGTGTTACTAAACTTTTTGATAAAGTTTTAGCCAGTCTCATAAAGGTTTCAAAGTTGGGAGACTGTCCAATATAAAGTTAAAAATTTTTATTTTTTATAAAGTAAATTTTTTAATTTTTAAATTAAAAGTCTTGTCAATGGTTTGAAGTTTGGTTTTGATTAGATTTTAACCATAAAAAGACTCCCGGTGGCTTCACAAAAGTGGTTTGAATTTCGATCGCTTTATTGTTGACAACGCGGTCGTCATTACTGAATTGTCAAACCTGTGCAAGGCCATGCTTAATATAAACCCAGAAATACAATCTACAGTACGAATCAGCAAATGAAATTTGTACTATGAATATTGGCCACTGACCTGACTTAATTGGCAAAATGAAACTAAATCATCTCTTTATAATGAGAAGTGTATCATAAAACATGAATAATCAATTGATTGTACCGCTTTGTTATTATTCATAACCTTACATATTTTATTGTAGGACATCCAGCCTCTCAACCAATCAGTGACTCCAAGATACAACTTGCGTTCAAGATCCAACACACCCCTGACCAATGCAAGCAGCACCCCTCTATACCCAACATCTGGTTCACATAAAAGGACCAAAAAGAAGGATATTTCCAGCATAGTGGTATCTCCAGGATTCTTCAGTTCTGAAGAAGACTGATTCCTTGTTAAAAAGGAATATTTCCTATATTTTAACGCCATGGATCAATAATTTTGTAAGCTATCTGCCAATCAATATTAGCAAATCAATAGAGTATTATCACACTCACTTATTGGCCAATTGTGGTTGACAGATGACTTAAAATCTTTAGTATCTGTCGACTGCCTTTTAGAAAATCAACTTGATGCAGCTGTCGAATTACTAGTGTTGATTGAAACAAACTTATTACTGGCTGAAGTCACAGAATAGGAAATAGGCAGAAGGGTAACTCTTGTCGGTTCCTTTGTTGTTTTTGAAGCCTGAGTCAACAATTAGACAAACTTAGCCATGACAAATTATCATTCATTAATCAGATATAAACGAATTATAATACATAATTGAATTTGTTCACTATCATGGGGCATTTCGTCTGAAATGAAGTTGTCTAATTTCATTCAATTTTAAAATTTCCCCGATAGATACATGCTAAGCTTCGTATAAGTTAACACATGCGCAAGTTTTTTCAGGCTTCACCTGAAAGGCAGGAGTTCCCCTTCTGCCTAATTCCTATTCTGTGCTGAAGTTCCCTGACCTGATGGCATGTACGTTAACTTAAGTGAGTGACTCGAAGGAGAAGTGCTTAGCCCTAGTCCTAAATTTTTACTGGTCTTGCCTTGTTTTCATATTCCAATGATCAGACTGTCTTCTATTGTCTGTTACGAAGTACAGGACAGGCAGTTGGTGTGTTCAGAGGTTTAAAATATTTAACTAGTTTTTAGATATATAACAGCATGATGACAGTGGATAATTTTTCCGTTAAGTTTTTTCAGGTACTTTAAGAGCCTGCTTTTGTGACTTGTGAAAAACCAATTTTATTGTAGTAGTCTCTTTTTAATAAAATGTCAGTCCTTTGTCAACTATTTGTTTTTTTTTCAAATTTGGTGGATGTCACACAAACATTGCCACTACTGCTTGGAATTTCTATATCACCAAATAGAAGCTATATAAGGGTGTTCTTTTCGAGGCTAAATGTTAACGTTTCTTTAAATTTTTCTATATAATTGTCATAAAAAGAAAATGGAAAAGGAACATGGAAAAAAACAAATGTAATGTTCAAATTTTATTTATTAAATAGTTATTAGAATGGACACTAAATATTATATGAAAACGAATACAAACTGAGTTTAAGAGTTTAATAGAAAATACAATATGTTAAAAGGCCTGTTCGCGCTACTGGCATAGAAGTAATGTCATTCAAGTTTTTCCGCTGAGGAAATCTTGAAAGGATACGAAACAAACGAGAGCACTGGCATGCACATTTTTTGACCCACTTCAACTGGAACCCTGCATTTCTTGAAACTAAAGTCACGCCGCAGTTTGAAATAAGTAGCAATGTCTTGATTAAGCGGAAACTTTTGCCACATTTTTTACGAAATTGTAACGCTATTTTACCATGATATTTGAACCAATGATCCACACAAACATAAATTGCAGGAAATGAGTTTTTTGTGCAAAGTGTCACTTTATTGAGCCGTACCTAGCAGTTTTGTTGGAGCAGTGACATCTAAAAATTTTTAGAAACGGAGATATAATTCACGATTCTAAGGGCCTAGGACTATTCGGTGTAAACAAAAAAGAATTTTTCGGCCCGGCTCATGAAGTATAAGCTCGGTGGAAACAAAACTGAAAAATCTTGATACTTAACCTATTTCTCACCGCTCATTTGCCGGCAGTTTCTGGTGTTCACCTTAAACGCTATCGCATTGAAAAGTCAATGAAAAAATGATAATCTCACAAGTGCAAACCAAGCTTCATGGCGCATTTCTTCGCTAAAGATAACCACAAATAAATCCTTGAATCTAGATGAAATCTAATGTTATTTCAAAAGCGCTGAGCTTGTTTTCGATGACGTCTGTGTTATTGCCGAAACATGATGCACAGACAAACTGTTGCCCAGATACTTTCTTAACCTACCACAGCGTTTTCAAGTGCCACGGTAACCGTCGCTTTTTTGTTCTAAGCTAGTGTAAAACTTTTGAGAAAAAGTTCTCGTTAAGAGGTAGAATGCATAATGAGACGGCAAGATGCGATTGAAAAGGCCTAGACACAAAATCTATTGGGATAAAACACACGATTTGTTTATTGGACACAAGAGGCTGCGCTAGCAACTTTAAAAAAACATTTCAATAAGCATGCTGCTCAAACTGCGGTACACCAAAGCTAAAAATGGGGTTTGGTTGAACTGCAGCCAATCTTGATTTTTTAACAAGAAGGGAAGCCAACAAGAGACGGTGTGGAAATTTTTACGAAAATTATCTGCTTGTGTTGAAACGCACGGCAGACAACGATAAATGCAACTAGTGCAGCATTCAAAAACAAAAAGGCTGTACCTCGTAGCACAGCAGCCGAATGAAGCTGCGTGGAAAATAACATACCCTTTCTCCGATTGTTGCACACCGTAGGAAAGCAATATATCTAGAACCTGAGTGTAGAGTTAAAAATGGGGAATTTTCTTTTGTTTAATGCCTAGTGTGTCCTTCCGTTGTTAAAGGACTCGTGTTCAAACCTGTTATTTTCTAAAAAGAAGTTTTCACTGAATGCATGAGTAAAAAAAATTTATGTACAAATTAGTGCTGAAAGCTGTTTCCAATAAATGCGTTATCTACTTAACTAAATATTAACATTAAAGTTAAAATTGATTATTGATACGAAGGTATAAGATCGCTAGAAAATACGAATAAGACTTGTTGTTTACAAAAGCCGAATTGCTAGAAAACGTTTACCACTTAGCTTTATGAGAAGCAAAGATAAATATAATTTGCCAACAATTGGCTTGGCTCTAAAATGTTCAGTTTTATCTAATTTTTTCATCAATGGTCTCCTAAAAATTGTAGCTTAATCAAAAAATCTTAAGAACATATTTTTAGATTACTTGAAACAAATAATCGCAAATGAATTCACAATTGGCAACAGATTCACCTTATCAGCAAACACCAGATGTTACCAGGCAACGCTCAGTGCTGGCTGAAGTGGAGGCTGGTGCCAAAAAGAGACTGCCATCAGCACAAATACAGACTTCTCTAGCATCGGGATAGGTTTGCAAAGTTCCCGAAGTATCACTGGCTTTTAGGTTGGTAAAGAAAACACTTGAAGAGTTCATTACAATCTGAAAATAAAAGTCATAATTATTACTGATGAATGTTTAAAAAATTCATGTTGCTTTTCATCTAATGGTTTTCATAAGGGGTCGTGCATCAATGACGTAGAAGTAGATATCACCTTAATGATCATTAACAGAAAATAATCATTCATTGTTTATAAGTTTTACATTCATAATGACTAAAACCTGGAATATACAACAAAAAGAACATAAATACTAAAAAGAAAACAAAGATGAAAAAAACAAAGAAAACAAAGACTAATTCACCCATAATTTCCTCCATGCATTCGATTATAATCAGCTTTATATGTGAATTGCAGATTTAGAGTGTTTTTATAATTATTTTCGTTTTAAGTAAGAGATAACATAATTTCTGGCAAACCCTTCAAATCAAAAATTCAATGATTGTATGAATTGATTCGTAGCATCCCACAGTAGTGTCATTGAGAAGTGGGATTATACAAGCTTTGCTACGAGGCGTCGTGGAACGGTAGAGGAATATCGTCATGCAACAAACCTTCCCCTTTTTTGACGTCATGGTGATGTCATACAAGCTGTCAATCGTCAGGTCATTTGCCACTGACGTCATCCGTATACCATTCGCTGCATTCATAAAAAGAGTTTTCGTAGGAGACTCCAGAGAGAGCACCTGTTTTTCACCAGCTGATACAAGCGGGGTTTGAACAGACGAGTCAAACCTTAGGCCATCTGGAACTGGAGAGACAAAAGACGTTGTAAACATAAAACATATTGTAAACAAACAAGAAAAAGCATTAAGTATTACTTAAGCACCCCCGGTTAACCAAATTAATGGACCTGAGCAATAATTTGATCAATATCATTTTTAATACTCCTTTTTCCAATGTTTAGGTTAACCAAGGTTAGGTTTTTTCGAAGGTTTAAAATGTCAATCGTTCTGGACTGTCAGCGTCGTTTGTTACCATGACATCAAACCTTAATTAAATGAAATAATTTTCGTACTTGAAGTTGAACCTGAACCGCTAAAAATTGTTAACATTCTGAAATTACGTGTGCGGAGTGCGGCAGTGAAGACATTGCACATTGATAATCCAAGCTGTCGGGTTTCAATGTAATCAAATTTGACCTGATGCTGTTTGAGGGCTCCAAACTTCTTGCTAGTTTAAAGTAAAGGGTTCCAAATGTATGAAAAAAACGTTTGATAACTTCTAGGTCCGCATTTTGAGACAGGTATCTGTATTCTAAGTTGAAAGGGACATGGTTTTTATTACAAAAGTCTCACCCAACGCACTGCTATCTGTGGAACAAGCGCTGATGTGAAAATAGGCACCACTTATTTGAGAATTCCCAAAGTTTAATCGTACAACCATATGAATCGCTTACCAATGAACTCGACTCCTTTCACGTTGATTTCAAGCTTATCCTTATCAGCGTATAGCAAACTGCGATTTGACGCATCCAAAATGCGCAGTCTCTTGCTCTTCATCGTGATCTCCTCCTTACCAAGGTGTATCTGCCCTGTCAGTTTCTGTCCTCCGTCCCTCGCGGTTATTGTCACATTTTCCATAGACTGAATATTCAAAGGTGAATCCTGCAAAATAAAATTAAAGCTTGTTTGGATACGCACAGACGGGTAACAAAACAAACAGTTACCAATTACAAATGGATGATTAATGAATGGAGGCCTTTTGGTCCAGTGATGAGAGTCATCAGTTTTGTGTAAAATGTTGGAAGATTAGGGCCTAATCGATACCTTGACTGGCTCTGGAATAATAAAGAATGTTTACAAATTCATCAATTTACGATTGAGGCTATAAACTGACATAACCTGTCTCGGAAGCTAGCGATTTCTTTCTTTTATCAATATAAGCCTAGGCTATTACAAAACTTCTGTCCATTCAGCGAAGTCCAACCTTTTCTAGGGTTGTCAAGCACCTTTCCTTTTTCCACTGCCTCCCTTGTCTTCCCTCGCAGCCCTACAACATCTCAAACCTTCCCCTTACTCTTTCTTTCTTACTCTTCATTTCTCTTACTGATTTACCCTTCAAATCGATTGGCCTCTTGATATCTTCTCGCGGAAATTTCGATCTCCAAAAACTATGCAATTTTCTCCTCAAACCCAACTGCCCTGCTACTTCCAATTCCCTATTTTAAGGTCTTTTTCATTATCGCCCATCCATTGCATGACTCAGCTACCCACAACTCTGCAGCCAAGTAACAGCTGCAAACAAATAATTCAGAAAGGCAAAGTTAAATGCATTGATTTTCGAAATACATACCCCTCTTGACACGATATACTTTGCCTTTAACGTCTTCACAAACTCTGCTGGTCCCTCTAAGATGATGCCATTTTTGGTAATGCGAAGTCTTCCCATGCCATCCTAGAAACATTTTTAGTAAAGAAAATTTCAAAAATATTTTATAGAAAACAGAAAGCCTCTCCAAAGAACGCTAGTTTCACATTCGCGTGAAATATATATCCTCTGCATCCTATAGCAACAAATTTTCAGTACTCAAGGCCAGTTGAAGAAACATTGTGAAAGAGGGTTTTGCATTCTATTGGTAATATAAAATAAAGACACGCTATATTTAGCATAAAGTAGTTGGAATGCATTAAATTGAAACCCGGTTTGATTTCAAGGTTGCATCAAAATGTACCATTCGTGTTTATAATAACAGCAATTTTAGAATATCACTTAAAAACCAAAAAAAATCTTATCAAAAGGCGTTTTAAAGACATTGTATTAAAGACATGATAGAAATATTCAAAGATAAAATAACCCGAATTTCAACGCAGCTACACGTTAGACAAGCTCATGGCGGTTTTCGAAATCTGAAAAAACTGTGGTAGTGACAATAACCACGTGAATCTAAAGATGATAAAATATCACGCGAGGATGTTCGTCTAGAATTGCGAGTATACAAATCTGCCCCTTTTTATGCGATCTGCCGTAAATTTTCCCAAAACATCCCAACGATATGTTTTTATACGCAAAATAAAAAACAAACATTCATGTATCCAAGAAAAATGAAGCAAACTGTCTATAAATTTATTTCGACATAACTTTATTGGAATTTTGAACTTTCTGGAGGAAAGCTAAAGCATTCTCAAAACTTTAGAATATTCTCAGCAGATGGTTTTTTTATTACACGTAGGAATCTTATAAAAACATGAGACCGCATATTACGTATCCAAGTCAAGATCTGCCCTTAATTTTACCATATTGAAGGTTTTTATAGACTCTGACTGAACTCCCCTACCACAAAACTTCCCGTCACCAAAGGGACCAAAACAAGCGGTAAAGGTTCTATCAAACAGAAATAACCCGAAAAGGTTTCGGCCAAAACAATCTGAAGACAGATAATATAACATAAACGGCTATAGCTTTTGTCTTGACTGGAGGCAACTTCGTTTCAAAAGAATAGTTGAAAAGAAAATGTCTCGTGATCTGTCTAAAAGCGTTGGTCGCACATTGATTTCTAAAGCAACCTTCATTTATAATCAATCGAAGCCATTCCAACGACAGAATATATCCCGTCTTGGTCAGTCAAAATTATAGATCTCATTGTCTTGTATCATTGGTACTCGAATTATCGAGTGCTGAAACACAGACGGGAACGTTGATAGTCAAAGAACCTGTTAATCTGAGAAAAATTATCCCATCTTTCAGCCCACGAGTTGGCGGGTGGCATAGCATCTGCAGATGCTTACATGCAAAAACTCTATCACACTTTCAAGGCTATGGCTTTTTTTCTATCTAACCTCTCGGCTACCCCTGATACCGCCACATGTCATATTTTCGTAATTCGAGCGTATACGCAAAAGAGAATTTATCCCATCTTCCAGCTAACGTTGTAGATACACGAGATCAGGCAGGCAGGCTTAGCGCAATATCTCACTCGTCCCGGAACGACCCTTAAGCCCTGGCAAAACGACCAAACATTTCACTAAACATTTTATTCAACTTTTGTTTAGCCAAAAGTTTAGTGAAAAGTTTAGTCGTTTTGTCAGGGCTTTACTCTTATAAATACAAGATGAAAATTTCAAAGCTTTATATAGGAAGGTCGGATCTCACCTCCCATTGGCTGCAAGGTGGGATAATTTGTTATTATACAAACAGGTTCTTCCAGAAAAGCCCCAAGAAGCAAAGAATGGAATAAGTTGCATTTGATTTTGCCGAGATAGCATAACCAAATCTTGAATCTGTCTTTCAGTGCCTTTCTACCAGCCACGCAAATCACATGGCAAGAAAATTCAAACTCGATATTGAGAAAATTCACACCCAGAAAGGTTTTCATCCAGAACACATCATATTAATATGTGAGCTTGAGTGCTGCTTAATCTTTATATCGCCCTCCTGATGTCAAACTTGTTAAGAGAATGGATTTAGTTTTATATTCTCCAAAATGAATGCTGAGTTTGTTTTCTACAAACCAACAGCAGGGTGAATTTAAATTTCTATTCAAGTTGTTCTCAATTTGCTCAATATTTTTGTATATAAAAATAGTAATAATTATATTAGAAATTCATTCCACTTGTATTTGCTAAACGTGAATACGTTATTTGAAATAATACTAAAATAATGTTGACTTACGAAAGAAAAGTCTTGAACTCTAATCACCCAAATGACAAGAGCGAGGTTAATCAGACCAAGAATCAGAATAAGCAAAATTAGGAAATAGAGGCAGCGTTTTCTCCATCCATAAATTCCCACATTGTAAACTGGCTGTCTGGACGAGTAATCAACATCATCATCATCATCAAATTGATGCCCATTCGGTCTTCTTCGAGTAGCCATTTGCCAACTGTTAATTTGCTGCCTGAACAAAAGGTTATTATTATAGATATATAGCATGAATGATTAATGATATAAAAAAGCCTTTAATGGTATACTTAAGGCTTTTATGAAAGCTATATCCAATGTGAACAAATAAATATATAAACCAATAAAGTTTGAACAGAAAATTGATCTTGTAGAAAATTTTTATATCAGCAATTTCCGAAATAGATAAATGGGGTATCTTTATTCCCATCTTTATAAACATAGTGCTGTAATAGCTGATGGCAATATAGTATAAAAGGACAGTGAAATATCATACTTTCTTATTTTTAATCCTTTTTACTCTTAATTATTTTCAACAACTTTGTTTTTAATCCATGTAGCATTGCCTGCAGCCTGTGAGAAAATAGGACTATCATTTACTCATATAGGCTTATTCAAGGATAGATGCTTATTAACAATACTTGCCTCTAGTCTTGGGGCTGATTTCAAGGGGGGGGGGCTTTTATGAATGGGAAAATTGCATATTTAGGATTATGAGCATTCCATTTGCTCACATGTGTTTTTCAAATGAAATGAAAACTATGGTGCATATACTTGGGCTTGTTAAAACCATTAAAATCAAAATATTGTGAATGGAAATTTGAATGTTTTGTTAGGCTACAGATGTGCTCATAAGGAAGCTAACAACAATTTTACTTTCAACTTCCCAATTTATAGGTTTGATACTTAGAACAAATATAAAATAATGTAATGAGTGAAATTTGAAGTTGCAAAAATAGATGATTGCCTGTTTCAAATATTCGCTAGGGATTTGGATTTGAATCATTAATATCAACATGACCGCCAATCCTAACTAACCATCACACAAACATGTCATTACTACTAAGAGTCCTTAGCCATCAGAAAACAACTAAGTTTCCCTACTGTTTATTGGTATTTTACAAAGATTTGCAAGAGTCAGCATTTGAAGATGTTCTCCTATTCCCTTCTGTGCTTTATTTTGTTCAAGCAGCATGTATCGCTTGTTTGTTTACAGTGGCAAAAATTATTCATAAAATATTAGGCTGCAACTGACATTGTTTAAAGATAAGAATAATTGATAGACAAAATTCAGGTTTAGTTGGTAAAACTGCCCTTAGCTTGTACCATAGGGACAGTGCTATATCCATAAATGTTGACTTTGTACATTATACTATCAAAAATACTTTGTCAAATATACGGTTGAACAGGGCAAAATACAAATTGGGCAAATATGTTTCTCTGGGCCACATATGATATAAGGAATGCACATGTGGCCTTAGTCATCTAGGTACTTAAAATACTCATTGTTTTACTTTATCAAATGAATTCAAAAGCCTCAACTACTTTTCTATTTCTAAGTGATTTTAACACTACCTAAAACCATTTTTCAACTGAATTCCATTTCCATTTTCTAAAATGCTGATTTTACACTTGCCGCTGCTTCTTGTGAGTAAAAATATTTTCTATAGTTGTTAGCCTGCAGGTCTTGTGGTTAGGATCAAAACTAAGCTGGCAAATTGAGTAGCAGGTTTCAACTGATAAGAAGAGGATTTTTATCAATTAAAAAATTGTACCTAATTCCCCCACAAACTAGCCCATATACTAGTTATAGATCTATAGGTTCATAGCTGGGTATAGGCTTAGTGTGTTTAAAAATAAAAGCCATTTTATATTTTGGAAAAATCATGAATTCTCTCTATAAATTTGTTTTTCTTCTTCTATCAAAGTCCCATATTATGCCTTGGATAAAAAATTTGTTGGGCCTTTCAGTTTGTGATTACATGGTATTTCCAGTCCATATCCTCTCCTGCATTCACGCCCCTGCTTGAAAATTTGATTCCCCTTGAGTTTTTAAAGATTATCCTTTGTAAGGTGAACAAACCCCCTGGTACACATGATGACCAGTTGCAAAACTTTCAAATTCAACACTGTAAATTTTAGTCCCTCTGGCTATATGAAAAATACCTCAATTTGAATGTACCCACTAATTAACTTAACTTTAAATCATCATCAGAGCCCAAAGATGATTCTGAATGATGCTGATTTTGGAGAAAAATCCCCTGACATTGATTCTGGTATACACTTAGTGATGAGTGAAATTTGTTAGCAAACCGAAATTCAAGTTGCCAAAGCAAGACTCATAAAAGTTATAAGATGACTATTTAACTGGAATATGTTAAAAAATTTAACTAAGTTTGATGCTGAAAATTGTAAATGCAAGAATATTATTGATTTTTGCGTATTTCTGAACAATATCAACATTTGCAAAATCACAAAAATTGAGCCATAATGATTGAAGTACCTGTGAAACATTTGCAATAAAAATTTAATCTTTGCACTAATTTGCGATATCTTGTTACAATGAACTCGGGGGTACTTACTTTAAGCTTGGGTGTCTAGAACTGCTCATTTTCTACACTTTTGTTAGAGAATATCCTAATCGTTTAAGTCAAAATTTTTGGAGCTGCAATGGGCCTAGTCTCAGCGACTGACTCATGATATGTTGTTGCAGAATTAAATCAATAAATGTGTCACAAATTGTCAAGTCCATCTTTTCCAACTGATTGCAATGTTATAATGGGAACAAATAATGCTGCAAACTGCGTAAAACAACATTTTGTCCTCTCATTAAATGAAAATACAAAAATTCCTGTGATAAACAGGTTCACTCAAGTGCCTCTATAGCTGTAAAAGAGTTGACATAATAAAATGGCTTAAAATATGCCACTTTCCACCAAATACAAGGCCATTTATTATCAACTTGGTACTTCAACACCTAAAAGTGATATTGCAAATGTTTTCTCTGAACTTATCATTTCGCGATTAACAAAACCTGTTACTAAACTTTTTGATAAAGTTTTAGCTAGTCTCACGAAGGTTTCCAAGCCAGGAGACTGTCCAATAGAATGTTAAATTTTCTATTTTTAAAAAAGTAACTTTTTTAATTTTTAAATTAAAAGTCTTGTCAATGGTTTGAAGTTTGGTTTGATTAGATTTTAACCATAAAAAGACACATAATGGCTTCACAAAAGTGATTTCAATATTGATTGCCTTGTTGTTTACAATGCGGTCACCATTACTCATGTCAAACCTGTGCAATACTTTTGCTCACTAAGTGTAGACATTGACACTGGGTTGTGCTCTTCTTGTATAGTCGTTTTTATTTGATCTTGGCTAACAACAAACATGACTTTTTCAGTCTATTTTATGGGGGAAAATTGTATCAGCCGATGGCAGCAAAATCTAAGAAAGGGCCTCTTGAAAAATTTTCTCAGTCACATGTAACAACTTAATTCTTTAAAATGAAACTGAACTGAACTGAACTGAACTGAACTGAACTGGAACTGAACTGAGCTGAACTGGACAGTCAGTTATTCCCTTTATATCCTATTTTTATTTGTTATTCTGTCTTTGTCTAATTTTTTTATTTCTGGTAATTAGCAAAGAACTAAACACAAATTAAAAAAAAGAACTGACAAAAAAAATTTAGTTAATATGGATTTATAAAAGATCAAATGCTTATTCAACCTTTCAGACTAAAATTCAGTTAAGTAAAAAAATTACAAAAGATCAGGTCACAGGCTCTGAGAAATTAATAATTCTTGCTTAATGGAGCCATGCTACTACATAATAAGCCTGGAGATATAAAGACCATATATTTTCAAGAATACAGCCAAAGTACGTACATTTGTTGCTTTTGCCCTATGCAGAAAGGTTTTGATGAGTAATCATGCTAATTATGTTCCCCTCCCTTGAGGCATTTGCTTTCGAATTCAAATGGAAAACTGCCTTGTGACAATGTTTTAGATAAACAAATATCAAAATGATGCTTAATACATCACCAGCTCACAGCTATCTCGAAATCAGTTTTAAAAAAATCAGATATAAAAACTGTGAAGAAAAGGCTGGGCGATAGGCCCGTAAAAACATAACATACGCCCGTTCACCGTGTAGCCCACATGCAATAACGACCCCGGTTTACAATAACACAAAATAAAAATGCTGCAGTTCCTATTTACCTTCGTTTTTTCGGCTTGGAGAGTTTGTAAGGCTTGTTTTATTTGAAGGTAAGTCTTCAATTGATAAACAACAGATTGACAGCTTTGGAAATCGTTGCAATACCGAGTCAACCACAACACCTGAACTTCGCAGACTCCATAGGGTCGTGGTTTTATGCCTGGCTAGATGCTATCCTCCTTCGCAGAACACATAATTTGAAATACAAACTAGTGAGAGAGCACTTTCCCTTACCCTGGGTACCAGACTCACTATATAAAATAATATTATTTCATATATAGTGAGTCTGGTACCCAGGGTAACTTTCCCTCGACCTTGTGGGGAACATGACAGCTTACCCCTGAAGGTACATTTTGGCATATTATTGTACAGAGTCTGATAAACGATTCATGAATTTTGGAATACATTTAAATATATTTGTTATGTAACCTATTTTTCAGATATTATCCGCTCATTTGGCATCGTAGACCCTTGATTAGCATAGACTCTTGAGGCCATCCCATATGACAACTGAATGCTCTCCTATTTATATATTTTGCCAGGACATGAGCAAGCGATCATAGGGGCCATCCCTTCATCCCTTGAGCTTCAAAGTGGAAGTTCTATAGAATAGAAAAACTCTTCAATTGTAGTTATATCATACTGCACACTGCGGTGGCTTGGCCCGGTGATCACTTTTGGCACAACCCTTGTAACATCTATGAAAAATCTCTTGGAACCCAGAACTTTAAGACTGTTGCAACATAGGACGGGATCTTTGTTTTCTTTTCTGGGGCAGGCCCTAAAATAAGAAATTTTTACAGATCCGCATTTTTTATAAAAATTGGGTCTGTTAATTTGCTAGGATTGGCACAATGGGCGGGTCAAATACAGAAACTGCCACCATACTGCAAAAAGCGTGTCCTTATTAGGAAAAATCCTAAATGAGCGAAGTGTAGGTAGCAAAAGCTGATTCTTTTCAATATATGGATTGGTTGATAAAAAATTAGCAACATAAAGAGATGTCTTAACTTGTCAGCAAAAAGTTATCGAAAGGAAACCCTTTTACATGGTTTCTTCGGATCTCTGTCAAAGTTGTTTTTTATTTCCTTTCACCTTCAAAACCCCCTTCTAAATCAATCTTGCTTCCCAGACTTGAGTGTTTTTGGTTTTTCGGAGCCACATCTTTGCAGTAGTTCACAGAACTCGAAACTTGGAAGATCGAGCGCATTTATTGCAATTTTAATATATTTGTTACGTTTTTCTGTTGTTACGCTTTCCCCACCTGCATGTATCTTGTTGTAGGTGGGAATCAACCTGAATTAGGGTTTGCTCAAGTCTCAGATCTCTGTGATCTTAGTCATTTATTTCAATGCATGATTGAATGAATTTTTTTGTCCGGGACAAAAGCTGGGTGAAACTTTCTTAAGTCTCTTTTTGTTTATGGAAAGTTTTTTATTGCATTCAGCCCATCAAATTTTTTGTCATCAAATCTGTTCTTCAAAACATTTTGATACTATAAACGAGAACCTCATTACGGATGGCAAATAATCTATTCTCTCGCTGATGTAAAAGTTGTGCTTATCCCTTCCTATTCTCTTTTCGTGTAGTTTGAAAGTATGATCTGTACCCTTATCTTGTCTGTAACGCAGACATCACGCACCAGTCCACAAGGGGTTGACTGGAACGGAGCTAGGGGGCTTGCCCCTAAATTCTTTTACGGCCACGCCCTTTGAAACACCCATTTCCGAAAAAATTGTCTCTTTCTGTCCTTATTCACAAACATAATGATTCAGAGATGACTTCAATTAATGTAAAAATCCAAAGATTTATCTTTGATCACACAAGATAAAGCACTATGAAAAAGAACAAAAACGTGTTCCCAGTCAAGAAGAACTGCTACTAATTGGTTCGCTGGCGTAAACTTTCAAAACATTTTCCCACCTGTTTTTGCAAAAAAGTTGGGGAGGACTATGGTCACTGTTATGTAACATTCCCAAGTAAATGTTCCTTCCAGCTACCACCGAGAGAAGTCATACCAGCAAACTAACTTGAGATATTGTCTTGATATTGAAGCTGTATACAGGGTCTATCTTACTTCAAAACAGCACGAAAATATCATAAAGCGCAATTCATTTTTCTTTCCGTGTACTAACCCTTCGAGCTCTGAAGTTTTTTAATTCTTTTCTAATGCCCATTGCTCATTTCTAATAGCTCTTTTCTTATAGAAAATGAGTGCAATATATAAGGCTGGGATTGGACATTTACTTCGCATTGAAAAAATGTTCCTAATTCTGTCTTAGTTCTATGCTGCACTTTTAAGAACGTGCGCTATTAACAAATCCACACTTTGCACAATTACTGTTCCACAATTTCATTTTACAACTCCACAAAGTGAGTCAGATCCACGCTTATTTTAGGCCCTGTTTTGGGATGTAATAAATGAGTCTTCTGGGTATGATTTGGAAGATGCATCTTTCTGATCGCATCAACCGCTTGTCTCGTGGAGACCAACATACTTGGCAAGATATCGTTGAGCAGCACCTGAAATATAAATTACTCTAATGCATGTGATCCTTCACAGCATTAGCAACAACATTAGCAATAATAATTTAGTTAGCTTCTTTTCCTCTTAATTGACCAAATAGCCCTGACCATCAAAACTCAAAATGAAACATACTTGTAACTCTAACAGGAATCGTTCTTCCAGTATCATTTTTAAGCCCAACAGCTGGAGATGTTCCTAAAGCAAATAAAAGCTCTTTTCCTGCAGTTCTTATCCTAGCCAGTCTCTAGTCAATTATGCTGCACAACTGAGACAATTGGCCATTTCTCACGAACCATGTGGAGAAGGCTACACATAAAATTTTCCTCATTATCAAATCTTGTCCCCTTTAAATCACAAAGGAAGCCTACCTCTGATGCAGTTGAAAAACAAGTTTTTTAGATTTTATAATTCCAGTGCCTGCGGCAGTCAGACTTTTTTCATCTGACCTTTGAAACAGTTCCAAGATACGACAGCAAATTTTAATCTCATTGGCCCTTTCAATAAGCACATCTTTGACTGTTTTTAGAAATTGTACAGACATTAAAAAATGATATTTTCAATGTGATTATATATCTATCATATCTATACTGCAGCTGATAACGTTAAGTTTCTTCTTAGTCTGTGTTGCTTGACATGGTTTTTAAATGTAATATTCTGGGTTTCACGTAAGTCGGGCCTCACACAAGCCGGACTACTTTGTCGGTTACAAAGAGGTACGACTTGTATGAATTTGAAAGTAAATTCATCTTTTCCCGATAAATTCATCATGGGCTCCGACGCAGGTTGGAAAGCAGAGGGGCCAAGAGAAAGTGTAACAATCATAACAAAAGTTTTTTTTAAAAAGGTCTATTGTTTTGCAAAAAAGTGAGTAGGCCATGGACCCCCGCCCCCCCCCCCCCTCTTCGTCGGAGGCCCTGAAACTGATGTGTACCCTGTCTCGTCAATACCAAAAATAAACCAGTTAATTCCTAGATCATCAATTAATATTAAATTTTAATCGAAAAGCTGTTTTCGTAGCAAGCAAGTTTCAGAAAGCTACACTCAATCGTCACCTGTTTGTTAAAATACACAAATTACTGGTACCTAGACCAAACATTGTCAGTTGAAAATATACATATATCGATAACATTCAGCGACCTAAAGAGAGCCTTTATACCGTTAATCATGCTTTTTCATTGAAAAGGTTGGCGCTATTCTGTGGCGCTATTCTGTGGCGCTATATAGGGCGAGTAATTAAGCCCTGGCCTGATTTCATTCCTACCTCTCGGATAGGATGGCTGTCCAAGGTTGAAAAGGTTACCTTTGGAATCCCTCAAAGTAATTGTCTAGGGCCTTTTATCTTCAAGTAAGTTGAACATAAATTCCATAAAAGATTGGCGACGCTGAAATAAAGCCAGCCTGTTCTTTGAGAAATCTTGGTGTCATGATCGATGAAAATTTGTCCATGGAAAATCAAATAACGAAGACCTGCTCCTAAGCTTTTTATATGATAAGAAATATCAGACATATAAGGAAGCAGCTCGATAAGAATTTTGAAAAGACAATGGTCCAACGTCCATGCAAGGTACAGGCGCCAAAATAGCTTTCGCATGGGCTGCATACAGAGCGGCGTCTGTTATACAGAACGGCGCCTGTTATGCAAATTAGATGATCCAGACGCAAAAAAAGATTTGGAGTGGGCCCACGCAGATTTGGTTGCCACGCAGATTTTAGTATCAAACCGGAATAAAAAGGTATGATCACAACACTCCCGCATTAAAGCCGCATTTACACGAGCAAGTTTTCCTTGACAATTTTTCTTTGAGAAGTTTATTTTCCTCGTGTAGATTGGGGTTGATTGAGGAAAAATGACAATTTTTTACTTGGCAAGAGTACTTGTTCAAAAGCTGGCGTGCCATATGCATATTCATATGCAAAACTTCCCCGTGTAGATGACTTGTAAAGTAAACTTGACAAATTTAACTCAACTCCAGACCCTTCTTCCCGGGTAAGTAATTGCTTTTTCTTAGCTGTCATGGCCGCCACGAGGTTAATCTGGACCGATTATAAAAAGGCCAATGCTCTTGGAAGCTCTGCAAAGCCGCAAAAGCCTTTGGAATACAGAACAAGTTTCAAAAATAGGTAGACCAATGAAATATGATTGCCTGCTAAGATTTCCAATGAAAATTTCAAAGACTTCAAACGCAAAATTTTAACCATTGGACTTAGTGTGAGTCTGAGTTCCTCAGCAAGTTTCCTGCTAATCCTTTGATCTGTCTGCGACGATGGCTCGCCCAAGGCCGGACCCACCACTTTCGCTGCCTTTTTTTCTTAGATTCACAGTACATTAGTAGGGCTGCAGCTGTCCCACACACGAATAAAGTTACTTCTTCGTTAAAGGGGCCATTTTGGCAAGAAAAATTTGCACAAATAATGAGCCGCGTCAGAAAACCGAAGCTAACCTATAAACTCCGCTTGCCATAACACAAATAGATATTGTCAAAGAGATTCTTTATCTTTCTACGCGAAATGTGTAGAAATTGTCGAACAAAACTTGTTTATAATCTACATGGGCAAGGAAACTTGTCATGGAAAATTGCCAAGGAAAAATTGGTCGTGTAAATGCGGCTTAAAGGAGCTGCACTGGCTTCCTGT